TTTTGTCATTCATCATGCTTAAGTTGCTTTAGAACAACAATTGATGGTTGTTTAACATGTGATCTAAGTTTAAATAGAATATTAAAAGGGTTAAAATGTGTATGTGCACCTGGTTATTATGAATTAAGTAATATTTGTACAAGTATATATAATAATGATAATTATAGATTGTCCAAATACTGAAGATGCATCTTTAAGTCAATGTTATAAATAATGTAATAATAATTAATAAATATGGCATACTATTACTTGTACTTCTTGTGATTCTGGATTTAATTTAGTCTATGGAGAATGTCAACCCATTTGTGGAGATTCATAAATAAAAGGATATGAATAATGTGAAGATAATAATACAATTCTTGATGATAAATGCTATAATTGTTAATTTTAATGTCCAGCTCATTGTTTAACTTGTGATTAATCAACTATTTTACCTTGTCCTGATATTTGTGGAGATGGAATTATTACAGGAATTGAAGAATGCGAAGATGGAAATAATATTTAATATGATGGATGTTTTAATTGTAAGTATTAATGTTAAACTTCATGTACAAATTGTATATAAGGCAAATGTTTTGAATGTGCTACTGCTGGTTGGTATATTGATCCAACAGTTACTCCTTGGTAATGTAAGGAAAGATGTGGAGATTAAGTAATAAGTGTAAGTGAATAATGTGATGATGGAAATCTAAGTGATGCAGATGGTTGCATGGATTGTAAGTTTTTCTGCAGAATTGGTTGTTCTTCTTGTGATTATACTACAAACAAGTGTTTAAGTTGTGAATTTCCTGGTTTTGTTCCTTATTCTTACTATTGTAAGAATACATGCGGAGATGGTTTAGTTGTGACAGATCCTAATGGGTACTATTCAGAACAATGCGATGATGGAAATATTATTAATGATGACGGCTGCAATAATTCTTGTTACTTTTAATGTTAGTCATCAACTATTTGTACTAGTTGTGTAAGTAATAGATGTGAAATATGTGCTACTGGATATAATCTTTCTAGTTAAAAAGTATGTTTACCTATTTGTGGAGATTCAATGATAGTAGTTGGAGAATAATGCGAAAATTCATTTATATTACCATATAAAGGTTGTATAAATTGCTAAGCAAGATGTCAAAGTTCTTGCCTCACTTGTGATACAACTGGACTTGGTTGTCTATCATGTAAAAATGGTTACAATAGAATTGATAATTTATGTTATTCAATTTGTGGTGATACCATAATAACAGAAGATGAATAATGTGATGATGGTAATTTATTAATTGGAGATGGATGTCATTTCTGTTAATTTACTTGTTAGGATTAATGTCTTAATTGTATAAAAGGAATCTGTTATGATTGTTAAGAAGGTTATGAATTAATATAATCTAAATGTTATCCTGTATGTGGAGATGGAGTTTAGAAATATAATGAATAATGTGAAATGATTAGTTCATTATAGACTAATTAGAATTGTAAATCTTGTTAATTTACTTGTGATTTGAATTGCTATTTGTGTTAATTTGGTATATGTTAGTAATGCAAAGATGGATATGAATTATCTTCTAATTAATATTACTGTATTAAATCTATATAAAATAACTCTATTTTAATTGAAAACTGTCAAATCTAAATTGGAAATAGTTGCTTATAATGTGAAGATTATTCATACTATGAAAAAGTTGAATAGAAGTGCAATTTAAAAGAAGCACCTATGAGTTTTTGTCAATATTAACTTAAATTATCTCCAGATTTATATTGTAGTTATTGTTTTGATTACTGTACATCTTGTAATGAAAACAATTGTATTAGTTGTTAAAGTGGCTATTATTTAGATGACAATTTTACATGTATTTCATCTTGTGGAGATGGAATACTTACACATGATGAACAATGCGAGATGTATGATCAAAATTGTTTAAGTTGCATGTTTGATGCTCCAAAATTATGTGAATAATACTTTGAAGATCATTGTTATCAATGTGAACATGGATATTATATAAATTAATATACTAATATCTGTGAATCTAAATGTGGGGATGGTATAATAGCTGGTGATGAAGACTGTGAAGATAATAATTATATAGAATTTGATGGTTGCTATTCTTGTAAATATTCTTGTAGCTAATAATGTTTAAATTGCTTCAATGGAATATGTTAATAATGTAACCAAAACTATTTTCTTAAAGATGGTTTTTGTTTGGTTTTAGAGAATGGTATTGATTACTTTCCTGAATGTGAATAATACATAAATCAAGAATGCTTAGTTTGTTAGAAAGATTATAAATTAAATGAATATGGCGATTGTATTTTTGGATGTTAAACAAATTGTATTCAATGTTATAATGGCTAGTGCACTTAATGTGTATAACAATATGAACTTTATGAGGGTGCATGCATTTTCATCTAGTAATGTTAAATAGGTTTTTATTTTAATTTAGAATTATAAATTTGTGAATCTTCATGTGGTGATGGATATATAAATGAATGGGAAGAATGTGATGATTAAAATATGAAATAATTTGATGGTTGTTATTAATGCAAATATGAATGTGATGATAATTGTATATAATGTATATATGGTGAATGCTTACAATGTTCTTAAGAATTTAATTTAGTTGAAAATAAATGCTTATCAAAATGTTAAGAATATTGTCTTAATTGTGTTTAAGGAGTATGTTAATTATGCACCAGTGGATATTACCTTAATGAATATTTTAATTGTAAGAAAATTGATTGTGAATATGATTTCAGTTGTACTTCTGAATGTGGAAATGGCATAATTGAAGATTTGGAATAGTGTGATGATTAGAATCTAATTAATGATGATAATTGTAATAATTATTGTGAATAAACTTGTGATATTAATTGTAATCGTTGTATTGATGGTGTATGTTATGAATGTAATGAGGGATGGAGATTAGATTAATTCTTTTGTACTCCAATTTGTGGAGATTTAATTGTTGTTGGAAATGAAGAATGCGATGACGGAAATTAAATTACTTTTGATGGTTGTTATTAATGTAAATTTTAATGTACTCAATATTGTGAAGTTTGTTTGAATGGAATATGTCAATTATGTTAAATTAATTATGAATTGGATTAATAAAATAATTCATGTAAATCAATTCAACCATTACTTACAGTTTATGAATAACCTAATTGTAAATTGTTAAATAACAATTAATGTATCCTTTGTTAAGTTGGATATCTAGATTTAATAACAAATACTTGTATAATTGATTATAATATGAACAAATGCTCTAAAAATTGTAAGTAATGTTTACTTTAGGAATGTTTACAATGTGAATTAGGATATTATGGAAATAAATGTATGCCAAAATGTGGAGATGGTATAATAGTATAGGAAGAAGAATGCGATGATGGCAATTAATATGATGTAGATACTTGTTTAAATTGTAAATATTAATGTCCTCAATATTGTAAATAATGTGCTTATGGAGTTTGTACTCATTGCTTTGTAGGATTTTATTTGGATATTGTGAGTAATTAATGTAATTCAGTTTGTGGTGATAAAATATTGGCAAGTGATGAAGTTTGTGATGATGGCAATGAATTAAGATATGATGGTTGTTTTTAATGTAAATATTAATGTTAAATGGAATGTTTAAATTGTTAATTTGGTAAATGTATATAATGTGAATCTCCTTTAATAGTAGTACAATCAAAAGGTATTTGTGAATAATTAAAAATATGTGAAGGTTTAATAGGATTGTATTATGATAATTATAGCAATGATTGTTTGCCATAATGTGGAGATGGTATAGTTGTAGGTAATGAATAATGCGAAGATCAGAATAATATTCCAAATGATGGATGCTATGAATGTAAATATTAATGTCATAAAATGTGCACAAATTGTTAAAAAGGATAATGTTATGAATGTTAAAAAGGATATTATTTAATTGGATAAAAATGTGAAACCAAATGTGGAGATGGTATTAAAATTGGTGATGAATTATGTGATGATTAAAATGATGTTGTAAGAGATGGTTGTACTTTTTGTAAAATTGATCCATTTTATAAATGTGAAGAGGATTAAAATTAATTATCTTATTGTTATAGATGCTAAGATAATTGTGAGGATTGCATATTAAACATAAATATAGTAGAATGCTAAAGATGTAAAAGTGGATATTTCCTTAAAGATAATACATGTAATTCATGTTCAGAAAAATGTGAGGAGTGTGTTAATACTCCAAATAATTGCATAATATGTTCAACAGATGGTTGTAAGAAATGTGATAATATATCTGGGTTTTATTTAGATAAATAAAAAAAATCATGTGTTACAAAATGTGGAGATAATATCATAGCTGGAAATGAATAATGTGATGATGGAAATAAGATTGATAAAGATGGATGTAATTCTAAATGTGAAATTGAAAAAGAATTTATTTGTAAAGGGAGTATCTGCTATGTTCCACCTAAAAAATAAGTTGATTTGACATATTCTAACTCAACTACTTTAAGTGATTTTGATTTAATATTTGAAGATCTCAAAATAGATGGTGTTTGTGAAAAATTGAAGATTTGGATAGAATAATTCTAACCTAATGAATTTAAATATGAAGTATCAATTAAAGAAAATGAAAATAAAATAGAATAAGCTAGATGTGAAATCAAATTTAATTTCTTTAAAACAATAATGGAATCCAATCTTATTCATGTTATAGTACCATTGAAGGATAATGTCACTAGAATTCTTGAAGAAGAAACAAGAGAAATTATTATTGCACCAAGAAGATTAATTTATTATAATGAAGATTAAAAAGCTCAAGCTTAAAGTGTTGTAGCAGCATCTTCAAACTTAACTTTTCTACTTTAATTAATTGGTCCTTTAACTATTTTTCTTGGAGGATTTAATTTCTTTTGGACTATCTTAGATATATTGACTTGGATTAATAATTTTTATTTTCTAAATGTAGATTATCCTTTGAATGTTAAATTATTTTTTAATTAACTTGAATGGGGAGATATAATTAATATTCCTGATATTATTACTTTAAATTCACCAGATGATCCTTATTATTTTGAAGCACCTCCTAAATTTACTGAAAAAGATGTTAATCCACTATTTTTAAATAATATATAACTATTTTGTGGATTAATTTTAATATCAATAATAGGTTATATTTTTTCAATTTGCATAGTATCGATTATTTAAACTAAATATTAATCGATAAATGTAAAAACACATAAAATTGAAATATTTTCAGTAAGTGAGATGAATAAGAGTATTGAAATGATGTCACCATAAAAATAACAGGTAAAATAATTTCATTAAAAAAGTAAATAAATGCCCTATATAATAAATACTATATATAAAGAAATATTATGGTTTAAAGAGAATTATAGAGCTAAATTACTTTAAATAATAGGATTAGTATTTTTGGATATTTGTTTGGCTTGTGTTCTTTAATTTTAATATAGTAACAATGAAGAGTATATAATTATAAAATTGAATATTTTATTAGCTCTTGTTGGAGTTATTTTTATATTGGTAGTGTTTAAATTATATTCATTTGTTTGTTCATAACATGAAATTTTGTATGAGACCTAAAAATTTAAGAATTATTATTCATCATTATATGAAGGCATCAACACTAAACAACTATTAGCTAGAAATTATTGTTATGTTAATTTAATGAGAAAGGCCTTTTTTATATTTTTTACTGTGTACTTTTATGATGTACCATTGTTATAAACATCATTATGTTGTTTAATTTGCTTTTTAAATTTAGCTTTGATTTTATATTAGAATCCATTTGAAAGTAGAAGTGTGCTTATATAAACATCAATACCAGATTTTTGTATTTTTATTATAATTTTTATTACTGTTTTATTGGCTATTCATGATGTAAGTGATATATTTTCATTTGATTAAAAGTATTTTATAGGATGGGTAATATTATTTTTTATAGGATTCTCAATATTTATTTAATTAATCTTTTTGTTTTAATAGTTTTACGAATAAATGAAGGAAAGATTGATATAATTGAAAGATTATATTTGTAAATAACCAAGTAAGAAGAATTGATTATTAATTTATATTAAAACTTATTAATATATATATATATATCAATATTTTAATATATCTAAATACAAAAAAAAAAGAGAGAGAAATATAATAATTTAAATTGATTCTTTATATAATACTCTCATTATTTGAGTGTTTCTGGAGCATTACCAACTTTAACAACACATCTATATTTGGGTCTTCCATTTAATAATTTATCATAGGCACCTTTGAAATTTTCAAACTCGAATTACTCACAAGTAGGATAGATTTTATGTTTATTGGCAAACTCAATCATTTCATAGTTTTCCTAAAAATCTTAATATTTAAATATACTTGTCTTGATCCAACAAGAGATCCAACAAAAGAAATTTATCTTACAACCATAGCAAAAAATGGTAATTGGAGTTCAACTTTTGTAAGTGCAGGGATACCAACCATAACAAAATCACCTCCATTTTTAAGTAAATTTGTATAAGCAATGAATTCATCAACTGTATTAGCACTAGCACAACTTAAAATCATATCAAATTTTCCTTATGATTTAACCATCTATTCTTGATTCTTAGTACAAATGAAATCAGTAGCACCATATGATCTTGCTTCTTCTTCTTTATCTGCTGATGTAGAAATAGCTGTTGTTCTCATTCCTAAAGCTGCAGAAAATTTAATTGCTAAATGTCCAAGACCACCTATTCCTAGAATACCAACATTTTTATTGGCTCCAAAATGTCTTTTAAGTGGAGCATATACTGTAATACCTGCACACAAAAGAGGAGGTGCAAGATGTTATGGAATTGTATTTGGAATTGGGAATGTCCATTTTGCTGGTAATTAGACATGGGTAGCAAATCCACCGAATTTTGGTAATGGAATTAAATGTTCATTACCAACTTATCCACACAATTAATCATTTCCTAAAATACATTATTTGCATTTTCCACAACTATCTCTTATAAATCCTGCTCCAACCAAGTCACCAATTTAAAATTGTGTTACTTAGTCTCCTTTTTATACTATATGACCTAAGATTTCATGTCCAGGAACACTTGGATAACTAATTGGGAACCAATCTTAATTAACAAGATGACCTTAAAAATAAATTATACAATTTACAATCTGTATAGCATAAACCAAAATATGTCTATTGGATTCTAACTTCATCTGGTCTAAGGGGAGGGAATTAAAATGGATAGAGGACTGCCTCTGTATTTGGACCCTCAAAAGACCATGCAAATGCTTCAGCTTAATCTTTGCTTACTAATTTATAAAGACTGTGTTCCTTTGTTGCCATAAATTATATTTATTTATCTTTCCTTATCAAATACACTTGTCTTCATAAATATTCAATCCACTCATGAATCACCTACTCTTATCAAATCAGAATTTAGAAATTTCTATATAATATTTTATAAAACAAAATAGATGACAGCTAAATCAATTCATTATACAAAATCCATTAGATTCATAAATACTCTTACATATTTCAATATCTAAGTATTTATATTGTGAAATTTTTTAAACATAATCAAAAATCAATATAAGTATTTAAATCAATTGCTAAATTCTTAATACCATTAGATTTAATTGTGTTTGATGATTTGTTAAAGAATTTAGAAGTAGTTTTCATAATTCTGCCCAATTATGATGAAGTATCACAATAAAATTAAATATGTTTATAATAATGTTATTTATAATATTAAATGAAGCTTGCAATATATGAAGTAGGGCTATTTCCATAAAATATGAAAACATAATTCTAAGAACTGCAAGCATTTTCTTAATGGCAATATCTGGGAAAAAATTTAATTTCTACAGTTTTTATTGCATTGTTAGATTTTTTTATTGCAACTAATAAATCTTAAGCAATGGAACAATTAGCCAAACCTAAAAGTAGTTATTAAAATGGATAAAATCTTATGATATCATAATTGATATATAATTTACGAATGGGGAAAATAAATACAAAAGAATTTTTCACATAGCTAAAAAATTTTGATAGCTCAAATGATAAAGGGGGATAATTATTGGAAGAGTTTTGCTAATTGTAGGGATTAAAAAGATCATCAAATAATCCAAAATTAATGATAGAAAGTATTGCAAACTTTTTTTCAATTACAATAATTTTTATTAGACAGTTTTCAATAGGAAATACTAGTAAGTCTAGAGTATTCATTTTATAATAAATAGATGGTTATTATTTAATTAAATAAAGCAGTACTGTGATTTAGTATATAAATCAACGCTAATAAATATGCAAACTTTGTTAAATGAGATGTGATGATTATTTTATCACTCCAGTTTGTTTTCACATAAGTTGTTATAAATGTTTAAATGAAAAAATAAGAAAAGCAAATTAATAATTAGTGTTGTCATGTAATAATTATTGTATGCAAAAAATATTAGTAAAAGATATTCAATATTATTAAATAAAAGAACTAAATATATAAGAAAAGAAGTTTTAATAAGAATAATCAATTAATTTATCAAAATCATAATAGTTCACTAATGATAATTAAAAATCCAACTCTTTTCAAAATGTAGTTGAAAATAACAATTAAAAGATTAATTAAATTTATTATAACAATCTTATTGATTCAAAATAATAATAAAGATGTAATTCTTGTTAATAATCTAATATTAATTAAATATTTATTAATAGTTTATGTAACCATAAATTTTGTATAGACTGTTTTAAAAAAAGAATCATAACCTAAAATTAGAGATGTCCAATAAAAGATTGTTATAAAGCAATTGATGCTTCACTATTTTAATAAAGAATTTAACTAGAAAATGAAATATAAAAAAATTAAAAGTCTTTTCAAACAATAAATTTATAGTCTTTTAAATGTAGTAAATGTATGAGTGAATATAACATAAGCAGTTTATATAAAGACAAAGGATGCATGCATTTTATTTGTTTTACATGTATTGAATTATAGGTTCAAAAATCCATTTAGAATAAACTAAATTATTAAATAGTAAAATGTCCTTTATGTAATAATATATATGGTAGAGATTTTGAAAAATATTATGATTAATAACAATTACTTTTAGTAGAATAGAGAATTAAATATGATGAATAATTTAAAAAAGAAGATTAGGAAAGAGAACTTAAAGAAAAAGAATAGTAACAAACATTTCAATAACAAAAATAAGAGTAATAATAATTATTAGAATCATCTTCATATAAAAAAGTAGAAAAGTACTCTTATGAAATTAATGATACTTAAAAATAATAATCATAAATATTAACATAGTATGATTAATAAAATAATTCTTAATCAAATAAAAATCTTTTAGATTCAACAACACAATCAAACAAATTTGAAGAAGGGCTTAAACAAAATGAATAAGGTGAATGTACTATGTGTTATACATAATTTTCAGAATTTAATTTAAGATAAGAAATAGATTGTTAATATCATTAAATAGGAGTATGTTGTATGATCAACTTTAAAAGATGTCCATAATGTGAATCTAAAAATGTAAATTCTAAAATTATCAGAGCAAAACGTATTATTTAAATCATAATTAGCAAAATTAATTTTATAAACATTCATCTAAAATGTTGAATTTATTAGTTAATCTAGTATCTATAATTCCTCAACTAAGTAATATAATTATGGAAATGCTGATGATTATTCTAGATTGAATTCTAGAGGTAATGTAATTTAAAATCAAAATAAACCCTAATAACGAAATAGTACTATGGATACTAACATTTTCAGAAGTCAAGCTTAATAAAATAATGTAGTTAGTGTTTATGGGGCAGGATACAAACGATGATTTTTGTGAATTAATAAATGAATTAGTTTTTATGTTAATATAATTATATACAAAAAATAATATATCATTTTGCATTAATATTTATGTCTGATATTTTTTGTAAATAAATAGTGGATTACTATTTAGAATTTTCAAATTTAATTTCTTATTAATTTTACATTAAGATATAAAAATCTTCATCAGTTAATTTTAAATGATCATATTATTAATTATTCGAAAATTACAGATTTGCTTAGCCAATAAAGAGACTTTAAGGTTTTTAAAGCTACTCAATATTTATTACACTATTTACATTAATATCAAGTGTTGCATGATGATTCTAAAAAAATAATAATTTAATTTACATTATTTTAAGGTTGTACTCTAATTTCTTCAAGTGATTAATCATCTACATTTTCTACTTGAAAATCATGTACTTTATTATTATTGATTTATTAAATTTCTGATTTCTCTTCTGGATCAGGAGATGTATCCAATATATTTAATTTGATTCCTATACTGTGACTTTAACTCAAAATTTCAGAATCAAAATTAGAACGTAAAATAAACTATAATCTTGAGATTTCATATAAAGAATTAGTTAAACATAATTTTTATCTAGCAATTTCAGTTAGATCATGATATTTTTGCATAAATTTATTAAATGGGATAGATTTATCTTAATATTTTACTCCTATTATTTTAGAATACCAATTTTAAATAAACTTAATATTCTTAAATTAAGGATAATACATTTCTATAACTGCTCTTATTACTCTATCTTCTAATGTTTTTTCATTTATCATATAAGCAACATTTGAAAAGAATAAGAAGAAAGATATTATTGATCCTATATTTGCCAATACTTCTGAAACTTTTGGATATTCAATGAAAATAGTTTACTAAAGTGTTCCAAGTTCAAATTCAAATACAATGAAGACATTCTTTTCAAATGTATGAGTAAAATAATCTAAATCCATTTGTTGGATATATGAAATGATTTGACTTGGGAATTCATGTGTTTCAATACTTTCAAATAAGAAGCCAGTGTCTACTGAAACATTTGATGTTCCAAAAGACATTTAACTGAAATATGTTGTTTTATTATCAAAAGAAGCATAATAATCTTATTCAATCAATTCTAATTGTTTAGTGGATGTATTATATTAATTGACAAATGTTCTAATGAAAAGTTGATTTTATTTCTAACTGAAAAACTCTTTAACTCTCTCTTCCTTAGCACAATTCCATCCCTCTGGCAAAACAGTTTGATCACATTCTTCAAACATTATTGTATATTCTATATTTTTTTAATCCAGTTCTTCATGCTCATTATTAACAAGTTCAATATTTTTAAGTTCAATTAGAATCATGTTATGATCTGAAGATAATTTCTTTGACAATAGAGGTTATGGGATTTAGAGTTCATCCTCTACAACTTTATATAACATTGGTAACAAGATCATGTTTTCAGGTTCGAAAGGATCTATTTAATTAAGAATACTTTTGTGTCTTCTAAGACAGAATTCAGCTACAGCTACTTAATCGAATTTTAAAGTATAAGTCTCTACTTCTGTTGCCATAGATGTTACTTTTGGTAAGATTTATCCTGATCTCCATAAAATCAATTCATAAATTAAGTAAGATAAGCTGGCACCATATAAAAGAATAGAAAGTAATCCTCCTAGAGATGTTTTGAATTACACTTCACCATAAGCATAGCTTGGCTTATAGTTTGCTCCAAATTAATCAACTCTTCTTAAGAATTCTTGTATATTATTAATCATGTTATCATAATCTATAATTAGAAAGAATAATATATTTATAGAATTGAGATAATTTTAATGACATAATTTGATTGATATTAAATTATATAAACCAAAAAATGATGTCATTTATAAATAATACAACCAATTTATCAAAGATACTCTTACATCCCTAAATTTAATTACATTGTTCTCTAATCATATAGAATTTATAATAAATTAATAATCTGACTATTTGGTTTGTCATTTGTAAAATAATATAATTCACATAATATTTACATTTTCATCAATTAGAAGAATTATTTTGATTATTCTAAGGTTAAGCTTTTGGTGTCACAGTTTCATATAATTCAATAGCATTTAAATCCTTTATTTTCGGTTATTGTTACATAAGGATATAGAAATCTTCATCAGTCAATTTTAATTCATCATCTATAGATTCTTGTATATGTAGATTCTTTCCCAAGAATAGACTTTGTGATTGATTTAATTATTAGAATTATACAATCTATTAAGGTACATCTACTAAAGTTTAAGGTATCTAAAATAATAAAAGATAAATTATTACAATTTTTAAGATATTATTATTTTAATCATCAATTGAATTATTATCAATAACCTCTTATCTTAATTCTTAATTATTATTATCTATTTTTATGGCATTTTGTTTTTCAACATCTGATTCAATTTCAATTAATTTTAATCTAATTCCAATTTCATGACAATTTCTAAGTATTTCCTTATCACTTATTGATCTAAGGATGAATTATAACCTCGAAATTTCATAAAGAGTATTTGTTAAACATAATTTTGCAGAAGCAATTCTTAATAACTTCTTATAAGTTTCTAAAAATGAAAGTGCTACTCTCGAATTCTGATACCTGATTTCAATAACTTTACCAAAGAAATTCTTAATGAAAGTAATTTATTTCATTTAAGGATAGTACATCTCGATTAATGTTCTTACTACCTTTAATTCCAGATTCTTCTCATTTATTATATAAGCCACATGTGAAAAAAATAAAAAGAATGAAATTATAGATCCAATATTTGCAAGAACTTCAGATATTTTTGGATATTCAATAAATACTGTTTATTACAAAGTACCTAACTCAAATTCAAATACAACATATACTTCCTCATTAAAAGTGTGAGTGAAATAATCTAGATCCATCTATTAAATATATTATTAAGTTGAACTTGAAAATTCCATAATTTCTATACTTTCCAATAAAAACCCAGTGTCTATAGATACATTTGATGTACATATAGTTATTTAACTGAAATATGTAGTTTTATTGTCAATAGAAGCAAAATAATCTTGTTCAACTACATCTAGTTATCTTGTAGATGTATTAAATTAATTTACAAATGTTTGAATAGTCAATTAATTTTATTTTTGATTAAAGAATCTCTTAATTGTATCTTCATTTGCACAATACCATCCTTAAGGTAAGAGATTCTAAATGCATTATTAAAATATAAGCATATATTCCTTATTTGGATGATCTACTGATTCATGTTCATTATTTGACAATACAACATCTTTAAGCTCTATTAATATAGTTTCATGTTTCTCAGATTTCTTTGTAGAAAGTAACGGCTTTGGTTCTTAAATCTCATCATCAATTACTTCATATAACATTGGTAATAAGACAATATTATTAGGATCAAAAGGATCAATTTAATCTTTAATACTTTTGTGTCTTCTCAGACAAAAGGATGCTACAGTTACTTTATCAAAAGATAATTAATAGGTTTCAATTTCAGTATGTAAAGATGTGATTTTTGGTAGTATTCTTCCAGATCTCCACAATACCATTTCATATACTAAATAAGCTAAACTTAATCCATATAAAACAATTGAAAGCAATCCTCCTAAAGAAGTTTTGTATTGAACTTCTCCATATGCATAACTAGGTTTATAACTAGCACCAAATTAGTCAATTCTTCTTAAGAATTCCCCACAATTATTAAACATAAATATTGTTTTTTCTGATTTCTATTTTTATTTGCTTAGGTGAAATGACACAATAATAATTTTTGTTTAATAAACTATATAATAATTTACGTCATTTTTATATAATTATTAGAATTTCAACCTAATGAGAAACAGAATAGTAAAATACATTTAATATCTTCTTATTTATATTTAAAATAGATTTATCATGTATTCTTTTAATTATTTGATTGTAATAAAATTATTATTATAAAAATTATATAAAAAGATATTAAAGTCAAAGTATACGATAATATTATAACACTTGAATTAATGATTCTTTTTTAACTGGTTTAGATAAATAATAATCTAATCCATTTTGATAACATTATTCTTTAGTTTCATTATCAGTAAAAGCAGTACAAGCAATGATGGGTATAGAAAACCGTTTTTTAATTTGTTTAGATGCTTCCCATCCATCAAGTAAAGGCATATTTATATCCATAAATATTAATTAATATTATCTATCACTACATCTCCCACATTATGCTATTTAATATATTTATAAAAATATACTTTTCTTTTATTTTGAATATATCAAATCTACACATTCCTTTCCATTAAATACTTCATCAGAATTTAAACCTAGTTATTCTAACAAGATTGATAATGCTAATATATTAATCTATTCATCATCCACTATTAATATAAAAGGACAACGACATTCTATTATTGATTAATTACTTCTCAATAGAAATGATTATTGTTATTATTATTACCATGATTTTATGTATTTAATTCTAGCCTAATAATCTTCAACTGAACATTCATTATTAACTGTATCAGTTGAAACTGCATCACTAAGTTCCTATACAAAACGGATTTAACTATGAGGTCTTCGCTATCTTATTTAATTTCTATCATTTATTTAATCATTATCATCCAATAAACGTGATAATTTATTTCTCTTATTATCTCTTTTAAATTTCTCTATTCCAGCATTTACCTCTGTCTATCTTGTATCAATAACTATCTTCTTATTTAATATTATTAATGGACTTTTAGGATTGCTAAGTTTAACATCAGGACTAACAGTTTGAGGGTACACTGAAAACCAACAATGAAATCCTTTTCCTGTTTATGTTTCAAATCTTAGTCCACCTCCTTTTTCAAATCTTTATTATGATAATGCTTCTGCAATCTTATTACTTATAAAAAGACCTAATCCAAAACCTGCTGTATTTTTAGATATCTTTTATATTGATGGCACTCCTGATTATAATAATAATGTTAATCTATCTTATTCTGACTTTGTCATCCCTATTCCAGTATCTTAAACATGAAAAACAACATATTTTTATTTATTATTAGACATACATGTTTCAACTTTTAAGGAAATTAAACCTTGAAGTGTAAATTTTTGAGCATTTGATACTAAATTAATCAAAATTTATTTAATTCTATTCCGATCAGATATCATTTATGTTATTTTAGAATTAAAATCAATTTTGATTTCTAAATTCTTTTTTGATATTTAATCTTTAAAAAGTGAAATGACTTCTAGTATCAATTCTTAAATTTTGAATACTCCTACCTATAAACTGAATGTCTTTCCTAATATACTATTATAATCCATCATATCTAAAACCATACTATGCATCACTTTCCCATTAACCAATATTGGTTTAAAAAATTACTCCTAGATACTCTATGGAACTTCTTCATGGCATTCAGCTACCTATGCCAATGCTAAGATATAATTTAAAGATGTATTGTATTCATGACTAAAACTCTTAAATAATTGTTGCATAGTAGTTTGTGTAAATACTTTTTTAATTTACAAATTATATTCCTCCATATTTTATAATAGAATAGTAAAAGACTTAGGTTCAAAGTAAAACACTTTCAAATGTAGGTCATGGTATCCTCGAATGCTAAAGACTTCAAATTCATAAGGGAATTTCTGTAATTATATTAGCTATTCCAATAATTCATATAAGGTGTAATGTAACTAAGCTTCTTTCAGATCATATATTGAAGGAAATTTGCAACTAAATTATTCCTACATTAATTATTTTGTCTATTTATCGACAGATAATAATGGACTATTCAAAAGTTCCTAAATATTAATATTTCTTAATAACTCTTATGCTCTTGTATTTCGCATAATTAGATTTAATTTACTATCTAATTTTATTATACTAACTAGATTATTTTATAACTCCTAGATTCTATCTGTATCTGAACTTGTTTTGATATTCATAGTATCATCAAGACCTCTGTCATTTCTTTATATTTATTGATCAAATATTTTTTAGTGATAGTAAGTAAACAATAATAATATAATAGTAATTATTATCGGTTACCCATGATTTAGATTGTCTATTACTTTCCAAATGCCCATAATGATGAGATGCAGATATTTGAAAATGTTAAAATATTGTTTCTTTGTTAAATCCTTATTTAAATTATCATAGAGGAAGGGTGGAAGCAAAAATAAAAACACTTTCTCAGTATTCATCTATTACAAAATGACTATTGTTAATTTGTTAATTACCTAATATGTTCAGAGATAATAGTAGAATTGGTATAAGGAAACTTATATATTGTTTAGATTTTTGTAGTTATTGGAATATTAGGAAAGTAAGAACGATCCCCAACTCGATACCATGATAAAATAGCTGACTCTATAATAAAAATATAGTACTCAACTCCTAATATCATTTCGTAGATCGTATTGCACAGCCAAACGCCACTGTAAAAAATAGCCAATATCATACTTAATATAATTTTATATAATTAAATGATATTCAGACTTATAGATTATTTTTTGTTTAAAAAAATCAATTAGAACTATTGTGACTACTTAGAAAATTTAAAGATGATATAAAGTGTTTATGTAATTTATTTAATTCTCATGTATATAATTCATTTATTATGTAAAAGATAATTAATAAAAATATTAATGAATTCTTTATTGAATAATAAAATATCAATAAAATTAGGTAAATTATGTTATTGTCAATTTAAAAATTTATTCAATTTATTTCTACTAGTCATATGTCTATGGTATTTGAGTGGAAGCATCAAAATATCTGCATCTTGTTTGATAATACTATTTTAAGAAGTCAAATTTGTATTATTTAACAAAAATGTCTCAGTATGTAATTTCTTGAAACTAGTTCTAGTTGTTGCTATGCTTGTTAAGCTTTATTGTTTTTTACGTTTTGGAGTCAATTTATCATATTTAATAGATTTCATTATTTCAGGTACTTAAAGATCAATGATATGATGGTCTAAAAGAGATTTTTTAAGACTCATTTTCATTTTCAATCTTTCTTCAATAATATTTTGAGCTTTAGTTGGCAATTGTATTAATTATGATTTTTAGATTTCAAAAATATGAGCTTATTATTTAACTCTTGCTGTGTAAGGTGCAATTGTACAATCCTCATTAAATGAATCAAAAATGGAACATGTACACATGATATTGCGCTTAGTTTCCAAATTTACTTGACCCTAATAGACAAGAAACATTGATTCAATTGGTTGATATATAGTAATTATGGTTTCATTTTCTTCAAATTGCTGTAATAGTAAGGAATCAGCTAAAGAATTTATTTACTATTTTTCAATTTAATTTGTAGGTTCAAACAGCTTGAAAAAGAACGTACGTTTTTATCTGATAAATTATTCATGTTTTAGGAAGAGGAGGGATTGGGATTATTTGGTTATGTACAATAATTTGGAATGCTCGAGAGAGAACTAAATGGATAGGATAAGATAATTTTACAATTTTTTAAAGGTATCGTTTTTCAGCAATGTATCCATTATTTAATTGTCTTTGAAATAAGAGTTTATTCTTCTTTACATATTAAACATTTGATTCGAAAGAATCTAGGTCATCTTGTTCAGAGGAATCTAAGACCAACTTGCCTTCTAAAAATAAGTAAATGTTTTCGTTTTGGGTTTCTGAGATCACTTGAAAGGGAGGCAATTCAAGTAGATGCAGACGTTAACATAGCTGAATGGGTTATAGATGATATATACTAGGATATATTCTGATCTGCTTTGCAATTGCAATTTAAGGAATAATGGTTGAAGATGGACTTTTAGATTGTCATATATTAACTATTTAAATATGAAAATTGTACTTCTGCTTAGATTTAATTGCGTTGATTCAATTTGAGGAGATCGTACACAAGGGTATTAATAATTTCAGTCATTTATATAAAATAAATGGAATTATAGAAGGAAGACATACTAAAATATATGAAATTGGCTTTAGAATAGGCAGAATTAGGAAGATAAAATAAGGAGGTTCCTGTTGGTTGTGTGATAATAAATAGGAATGATGGGAAAATAATTGAGAAAGCTTATAATAATACAAATAAATCAAAAAATGCAACATAACATTGTGAAATAATTTGTATCAATCGAATGAATAGAGATTTGGAGGATTGCATATTATTTGTGACTTGTGAACCATGTATAATGTGTGGATAGGCTTTGAATTATATAAAGATTCATAGTGTGTATTATGGATGCAATAATTCACGATTTGGAGGGAATGGGACTGTGTTATAGTTGAATAAATATCCTAGTTTTGGGGGATATTTAGAATATGATTGTATGAAGATTTTGTAGGATTTTTATGAGGAAGGGAATGAGAATATTGAGGAGTAGTTTAGACATAGAAAAAAATAAAAATAATGATACAACTGGCATCAATAGAAGTGAAACAAATATTAATATAAATTTATTATAAAATAAAATGGAGTAGAGTTCAATAGAAAGCGAAGATGTGAGTTATAGTGTGTTGATTTTATCTAGGAGTTCGTCTAGAGACATAAGAAAAATTAGATGATTCTTCAGTAGGTGAAGGAAATATGGAAGGAGTCTGATTTGTCAAAGGATGATGGAATTATGCAGATATTAAATGATTTCAAAGAGGAAATTTTAGATGATTTGGAAGATGAATATGAACCAGAGTATAAAGCAATATAAGTTTAAGAAAATATAAATATAGATTTAGTTCCAATGAATGAGGTTTAAAAAGCCCTCATATATGAAGACAAGTATTAAAAATATCATAATTAGGTATCCCTTTTTAAAGATAAGAAAGAGAATCCTAATATAATTAAAGAAGATTTCAATGTTAGCAATGTAATTCACTAAGCATCCTATATTTGAGTTTTTCACTTTATTAGTCATTATATTTAACTCTATTATGCTTGCTTTAGATGATCCGACTACAGATAATTAGACTTCATTTTAAGATCTAATGGATATTATCTTTTTGGCAGTTTATACATTTGAGGCAGTTTTAAAAATTATAGCAATGGGTTTTGTTTTAAATAATAATGCATATCTTCGTGATTTGTGGAATATCTTGGATTTGACAGTAATTGTTACAGCATACATCCCATATTTTGTGAATAATTCTGGTTTATAATTGAGTGCATTAAGATCATTGAGAGTTTTAAGACCATTAAGAACAATATCTTCTGTAAAATCTTTAAGAAGTATAATGATGACATTATTTGCATCATTTGCTGAATTAGGTAATTCTTTAATAATATTGGGATTCACTTATACAATATTTGCAATAGCTGGATTGCAACTCTTTTCTGGATATGCTAAATTAAGATGTTTTGATGAAAATGGTATTATATAAATGTCTGGTTATGATACAGATGAACCATTTTGTAATGGATCATGTCCTGATAATTACATTTGTGGTAAAATGATTGATAATCCAATTAATGGACTTTTATCATTTGATGATTTTGGTTTGGCATTTTTATAAGTATTTATAATTACAACACTTGAAGGATGGACTACTATAATGTAGACTATAATGACTACTTTTTCATAATTTTCAGTCTTTTATTTTTTGCTTTGTGTTATTATTGGAGCATTCTTTCTTGTTAATTTGACATTAGCTATTATTAAAATTAATTTTTCTAAGGCTGAATCTTAAGAACCTATAAAACCAGATTAAGTAAGTTACAATCTCAAATAAATGAAACGATTAGGAATTTATAAATTTATTAGAGATACTCATATACCTAGTATAACTCGTAAACATACTATGAGAATGACTAAATTAAGATAATCAATTAATAATCAAAACAATATTAATGTTAATAATGCTAATAAATAAATTGATGAACCTAAAAGAAGTTCAATAAAGGTCAATTTCTAACCATTAAATATTAAAGATTTTAGTAAACCTCATTAAGTCAAATATAATAATAATAGAATATTACTTTAAGGAATTTAAGGAGTAAGAACAGAATAACCAATAAGTAAATATTAAGAAATCAATAATCCATAAGTAGTTATGAAAACTAGTGTATAATCTGTGAATGCTCCTTAAATTAGGAAACTAAGTAAAATTGGTACATAATTTAAACAATCCTAAAGAAAAATGTCTATAACTCATTAAGAAGAAAGTCCTTTAGATGAATTAGATAATCTATTAAAATTTGCTGTTCGTAGATAATCAGTATTGAGAGTAGATACAAAAATAATGGCATCTCCAAGAATACCAACTCCTTCTAAAGAAACACCATAACCTGTTAGTAGTAGTTCTATGTTAGATGAATCTTAATCTCCTGGAAAACCTCATTAATCCAATTATTTAGGAGTACCTAAATAATAATTTAATTTTTTATAAGATTAAAAATCTTTCAATGAAAATGATGTATTAAGTGTGACTCTATCAGAAATTGATTCCATATCTGATAATGAATTAAATCAAAGATTCAAAGAATTTGAAATCTCATTCTAAATAGAAAAATCTGATGATAAAACAGCAAATGAAACTGAAGATCGTAAACCAATTTAACATATTCATTAAAAGAAAAGAAAATAAGATGTTCCATTAACATATGAATTAAGCAAAGAAGATGAAAAATTAAAAATTAGATTATTTTAAACTAAATTAGTACCAAGAGTTGTATATAAAGATTTTTATTCTGAATCAAGTAAAGATATACTTGTAAGTTTGGAAATTAAAAAATAAAAGAGAGATTAAGAAATAAGAAATTAAAGAATCTAAAATATGAAATTTACTATGAAATATTAATTTTCAAATAATTCAACTAGATTATCATTATCAAAAACATAATAATAATAATAATCCAAAAGTTCATTAGGTTCAAATGATCAAAAACTCAAAGAAACTACTATAAAATCTAGAAAAATAATTCCTTTGACTGAAATACCATCAGTATAAGAAATTACTACTCCAAAATTAACTGTTAGAAAATAATAAAAACGTAAAACTATTGTACATAAGGCAATTACTTATGAATAATATTAATAAGGTTTTAGCAATGTTTAGGAAATAGATTCTAATTTTACTGAAAAGTTAGAACAAGTTGAAACATAATAAATCACTTTTAAAACTCCAAATGAGATATAGTTTTATACATAAGTGGCATTTTAATCATATCATCAAATAAAAAATGATGACATTAATCTTAATAATGGAAATCTAGTTGGTTAATCTTCAATTGAAGATGTAATTATGATTAGAGGTAGTTTATAATAAAGGTTTAATTTAATTTTATAGGGAATGAATTTTGCAAAATCAGATTATATGATATATATGACTAAAGATATGATAAAAATGTTATAATTCAAATTATTTTTAATTGTTGATTCAAGATATTTTAATATGTGTTTAAATTTAGCAGTATTTATGAATACAGTAATCCTATGTTTAGATGGTTTGGTCAATAATTCAGATGACTTGAATAATTTTAATTTAGCATTTACTATTCTATTCACAATTGAAATGGGATTGAAAATGATTGGATTTGGTATAATCTAATACATTAGAGATCCAATGAATATATTTGATTCAATAATTGTTGCCCTTAGTTTAGTTGATATATTTTTTTTATCTGGTAGTTCAGTATTTAAATCAGTAAGAATATTTAGAGCTTTCAGAGTATTAAGAGTAACAAAATTAATGAGGTAATTATTATTTTCTATATATAATATAGATCCCTTAAATTTATGAATTTTTTAGTATAAGTATTGAGTAATGCATTCCAATCTTTAATGTACATTTTTCTCTTACTTATATTATTTATATACATATTCACATTATTAGGAATGTCCTTCTTTGGTGGTTAATTGACAAATACACCTAGTAGATAAAGTTATGATACATTTTATGAATCATTTTTAGTAGTATTTTAAGTATTAACACTTGAAAATTGGAATAGTATTCTTTATGAATTACTTTAATAACCAGTATCTTGGATAATCACAATGATTTATTTAATAGCTTGGATCTTTATAGGAAGTTATGTTTTATTGAATTTATTTTTGGCAAGTTTATTGGATCAATTTGAGGCAGAATATTTAAGAGAACATAATTTAGAAAATAATAATTAAGAAGGAGAATAGAGTTAATAATAATAGATTTAATAGACATAAACAATGAATTAAACTGTAGTTAATATGTCTGTTAATTAATCTTTAAATCCTATATTAGCTAAATAATTGTTAGCTAGATAAGATTCATTAAATAAATTTATATATTTTTCAGAACCAGGTTTGTGTTTTTATTCTTTGAATATTTTTAGTCAAAATAATCCTATAAGAAGATTATGTTATAAAATAGTTAAAAATAGTTTATTTGATTAAATAATTTTATTTGCTATATTTTTGAGTTCATTAAAATTAGTAATAGATACATATTTGAGTAATTTTTTAGATTGGGCTGATTGGTTTTTTGCAATATTTTTTGGAGTAGAATTCTTATTTAAAATAATTGCATATGGATTTGTAATGGAAGAAAATGCATATTTAAGAGAAAGTTGGAATATTCTTGATTTCATTATAGTAGTGTGCTCTTTTATTGATATATCAGTAGCATCAATTGATTTAAGTTTTGTTAAGATTTTAAGATTATTAAGAACATTACGACCATTAAGATTAATATCTTAAAATAAATCAATGAAGTTATTAGTAACTACATTAATTAATTCAATTTCAGGTATTGTAAATGTAGGAGTGGTTGTTATATTAGTTTTTTTGATGTTTGCAATATTGGGTGTAAATTTAGAGAAAGGCAAAATGTATTATTGTGATATAGGCAATGATGAATAATCTTATTTACATTAAATAGATTGTATTAAAGAAGGATATGAATGGAAAAATAGAGATATGAATTTTGATAATGTATTTTGGGCAATGCTTACTCTCTTTATTGTATCAACATAAGAAGGTTGGCCTACTTAAATGTATTGGTTTGTTGATGCTGATGAAAGTGGACCTATAAAAAATAATTAAATGTGGTTTACTAGTTACTTTTTAATATTTTTATTAATTGGATCAATTTTATTAATGAATATGTTTGTTGGTGTTATTTTAGTAAATTACAAATTGGCAGAAGATGAAATGAAAGATAAAAATGTATCAAGAGATTAAGAAGATTGGATAAGTATATAAAAATTAATAGTTGATTCTAATCCTAATTTTGCTTTATATTATCCTCCAAAAAATTAATATAGAGCAATGATTTTTAAAATTATATCAAATAAAATATTTGATTTCTTTATCATGTTTTGTATAATTGTAAATATTGCAGCAATGGCATCAAATTATGAAGGTAAACTATATATAATTAATAAAATAGGATCTAGTGTTTAATATTAATATATATTAGAAACATTAAATTTAGTATTAAGTGTAATCTTTATATTTGAATCTGTATTAAAGATTATAGGATTTGGACCTAGAGGATATTTTAGAAATAATTGGAATTAATTTGATTTTTTTGTAGTACTTTCCTCAATTCTTGATATGATTCTAAGTTTTACTGATAATAAGAATAATCCTATTCTATCTGCAGGACCATAACTCATTAGAGTATTTAGAGTTTTAAGGGTTACTAGATTATTTAGATTAGTTAAATCTTTACATAGTCTTAAAAAGTTGATTGATACAGCCTTATTCTCTTTACCTGCATTATTTAATGTATCTGCATTAATGTTTTTACTTTATTTTATATTCTCTGTTTTAGGAGTATTCCTATTCAGTAATCTTAGGTATCATTTAATCTATTATTTTTAGTGCTGGTTATATTATTAATAGTGAAAATAATTTCAATGATTTTCATCATGCTTTAATACTATTATTTAGATGTACAACAGGTGAAGATTGGTATTTATTAATGTATGATATAATGAATAAAGCTGGTTATTATTATTGTTCTTATTTTATTATATTTGTAGTGATAATGTAAAGAATTATGCTTAATTTATTTGTACTTATTATTTTGGATCAATATGAAAGATTTTATTTTAATTCTGATAATCCTTTGTAAAGATTTTAAGAATTTGAAGATGATTTTGTTGATGGATGGGCACCTTTGGCTTCAGAAACAAAAGGTTAATAAATTCATCAAGATTTATTAATATAATTAATGTTATAAATAAAGGCACCTATGGGTTATGATTTAAAAGAGAAAATCAATACAGCTGTTAATGATTGGAAAACTTACAATTCTGATGCTGAAAAATCTTCATAAAATTTAGAAAAAATAAAAATTATGGTTACAACAGAAGCCAAGAAAACAGTTGCAAAAACAATAATGAATATGTAAATAGAGTCTGATGAAAATTAAATGTTAGAATATCATTATGTTTTATTTGCTTTTATGAAGAATTTTTAAACTGATTTATTCAAAGAAGTTACTCAAGCAGGATTGCATAAATTGATTTAAAAAGAAGAATAGACTTTAAATAAAATAAAAAAAAATAGACGTAGTTCTTAAGAAGTAAATCCTTGTGTTGAATTATTGTTTCATATTATGTGTTTTAGAGCATATAAAAGATATGCAGTAAAATTGAAAGAGAGAATGAATAGACAACAAAATGAATTCAGTCAAAAGAGTTCTGATTCTTCGTATCTCCATAAAAGCTCAGATATTGTATAGAGAGACAGTATAAGTCAATCATTAGAATCAATCTAAGAATCTAAATAATAATTTTGCTTACCTCCTGATTTAACTGTTTATTAAAGTGATGTGAATATTGCAATCAAAGATAATAGTCAAAATACTAAAAATAGAGGATCAGTCTAATAACTTGTAGAATAAAAATTAGAAAATATTAGTGAATTTAATAGTGAATAAAGCATTAGCTTTAATAAATTAAATGATGTATCGAATTGACAACCTATTTGTATATTTTAAGATTTCAAACTATAAATATTCTTATTACTATAAATAAATCTCATTTTATTAAATATCCTACTTAAAACTTTTCAAGAATATAATGAAAATTAATCCAAGGATGATGTTAGAGAAATAAGAAAGTAGCATCTCTTCCTACTCCTCTTAAAATCTATTCTCTACCACCAGGATGTTTGTCAATATAATAAGATATATCATAAATATTATCTTGTAACACAATCCATGCATCTTTATAAGTATTATGTAATTGAACCTTTAAATTAAATAAAAAATAATAATACTTCTTCTATTGTGTAAGATTTTAATTCAGCTAATCTTTTATGTATTATTTGATTATTAGTTGATTATATTTTAGTGATTGGATAAGTACTTGCACTTCTTTCTATACTTTATTTTTAATTAATCATATTGGTATTATCTTTAATATTTTGACTAGTCTCTCGATATTGTTAATTAAGATTAAAGATAGTTTACATCTAATAATTAACAGTTTCCATTTTTTACAGCTTCTTATACTTTTGAATAATAAGTTGATTTTGATGTATTTGATAGAGATTCTAAAATTCCCATTCTTATTCCTTATTTATAAGAGATGTGTTATTAGAATTTAATGTATTGATAAAGATATGTTATGATTGAATAAAATGTGGAAGTGAGTTTTAGATTGGTTATGTATTGGTATCAGTGAATGTTAAGTTATTTAGTTTATTTTTGGATGAGATTTCATTAAAAACAAAGAAGATTACTTCATTTATGATTTTAGGATCGAGATCTTACCAGATTAGAGTATATTAACGATTGGCAAAGTAAAAATTGATTTGATTATTGATATTCATTATATTATAAAATGAATGAAAATAGTATACTTTAGGATTATAGGAGAGAATCATTAAGTTCAACTAATTAAACAGTTGATACTCCAACATATGAAGAAATGGATTGGGCAGCATTTCAATAATTATTAATATAAGAGAGAATTGAAGTAAAGAGGAAGAAAATAATTATAGACAAAGAGGTGATAATTTCTTAGGTATTGAAATTAAGTGGGATTATGTCTGTAATACAATTTAAGGGAGGTAATTTGATATTTTAGGGGAGTACAATGGATTCTATTTTTGATGAAGAATGTAGTATTTAAGGATTTCAAATAGAAGTTTATTAAACTACACCTTGTATTAGAGTGCATTACAGAAACTTAATGATTATGGCATGTAATATTGAGAACTTCTAAAATTAAGGGATATTTATTAAATTTGATAATTCTTTAACAATAAATGATACAACAATGAAAGGATTTTAAGTATATATTGGTTGTGAGAGCAATGGAACAATATTGAGTATAAATCATTCAATAATAAAGAGTGATTGCTAATAATAATAATCAGTTTTGATTCATGCAGACAACCTAAGAGAATTTAAGATGGATATTAAAAATTCAATAATTGAAGGTAGTTCAGTCATTATAACAAATAGTAATAATGTAGAAATAAGAATTAAAGATAATGAATTTAAAAATTAATAAATTTCTATATCTATTGAAAATGTATAGAATAAATTAATTTTAATTGATAAGAATATATTTTATTTGTCTTTGGATTATGCAATAAAAATGAATAATGTTGAAGTAGACAAATTACAATTATTCAAAAATACAATTACTAAATGTAGAATTGGAATATTCTTATAAAATGTAGTAGAAATCTGTCAATTAATATAAAATATTAAACCAATATCTATTAAATAGAATGTATTGACAAGTATGGAATAAACAGCTATTATTATTCGAGAAGTAATATGTATGGAAATAGATGAAATCAATATATAAGACAATACTATTGGAATGGATATAGATATCAGTACATCCAAAATACCAGAATAAAATAATATCAATCCTTTTATTATAACAATTAAAAACTCTACTATAGGATCTAATCATATTCATGGCATCTTTCTCAATAGCAATTTATAATATCATCCAATCAATCTTCAGATTTCTAAAACTGCATTCTTCTCTAATTGTAATGCTTTGAATCTTTCTCATTAAGGAGAATCTAATGATAAAAGTAAGTCTCAAAATATTAAATAGGATTCAAGATAAATATTAATAGTTGCCAATTCCAAGACAATCACTTTTCTAATTCTAATTCAAATTATGAACTCAATATCATTAATACTAACATTGTAGTAAGAAAATCTAAATAATTTGATAGCATAATAAATAACTTATTATTAAATCAAGGTCAAAAAACTGTCAAATTATGTGAATATATTTTCAACTCATTTTATTTTAATTCAATATACATTATAATAAAAGCATCTCAAAATGAAAGGAGTTCATCAGTATAAGAATTACTTCAAATCCTTTATTCTATAATTAAAAAATAATTGTAATCTAACCTAAAGAATAAATTTAAATTTCTTTAAAATTATTCTATTATTTATTAATATTTATTAAAAACTAATTTTTCAATTTAGATTGGGCTTGTCATTTTTTTAAATGGAATAAATATTTTTTATTTTGTTATCTTAAGGAAGGTATTTATCCTATAAATGAATTGAAATCTGAAATAAATAATTAAATCCTTCAATATTATAACATAGAAGAATTTATTACTACTCTTACTAAAATTGCAAATTCTATACTAATAATAACAAATTCAAATAGTTTAACAAAAATAGGTTTAGTTTATATTGAGAAAATGGTTTACAAAAACAAGAATATACATATAAGAATAAGTACTTACAAATTAAGAGCCTAAATATATGGCATAAGTATTGTTATTAAGATTGATTTCTTAAGCATCATAAAAAGCTATTTAGAGTTTCATTTTTTTAAGATAATTCAAATTATTGGAGACTCTAATATAATTTGGTAAAACATAAGAATATCAATTTTGGCAAGAGCGCTAGGTTTTGAATCATTAGAAGCCTAATGATAAATTTTACAATTAACGCTTGAATTATGTGAATTTTGAATGAATAAAAAGGAGAAGGATTTAATTCAACTTGAAAAAGACTTGAACAGCTAAAATATAATCAAGGAACTTGAGATATTTTAAAATTACAATAAAAAAGATATATAAATTAATATATTTAAATTTGTTATATTTAAAGGATGTTTTCCATATTGGATTCTTTAATAATCGATCCTGGTTTAAGTAATCATTAAAAAGAAATAGATTTTAAATGTGAAACTCATATTGATTTATGGTTAAGTACGTTCTACGCTAGAAAATTCAGTTTAGAGAATGTTATAAAAAGATATATGATTATTTCTTAATTTGTTTGAAATATTATTAGCATAATAAACAATACTAGAACTCAAATCAACGTTTAAAATAAAATACAGTGAAGGAATGCTTAATTGTTTGAAGAATCTTTAGAACAATATATAATTAGATAATTGTTTATAAATTACCTAAGATTTTCAAAGGAATTGCATAAGACATTTTTTATTCCCATTCAACAAGATGAAAACTTTGTAATAAAATGAAGGAATAGAATGAGCATCAATAAAAAAAACTATGAGAATATCCATTAAAATTTAATTAATTTCAAAAGTATATAACATTTTCAATTTTTATTCATAATGTTTAACAATTAACAAGAGAACAATGATCAACCTGTTCTAAGGATTATGATTATGTATGTATTTCTGGTTCTTTATTTGAATTCTTTGATAAATATAAAATTAATAATATTTAATTATTTATAACTTAGAGGATTTGATGAAGAATAAAACTTTTATTATATAGTTATATGATTTTTGATTCAGAAATATAAATTGTAGAAGAAATTATGGAATATTTACTATATTATGTATCAAACGTCTTGTTTTTTTAAAGGGAGGAATTTAGGCTGGCTTATTTGATGTTAGAAATGTAATTAAAGTTAAATAGAAGGCAGTATTGCTTTAATGGATAAAATTGTAAATTGATGAGTTAAAGAAAAAAAAAATTTAATGAAAGATTGATAATATTAATTTTATGTTTTAAATTAAGATCACTATGTTAATACTGTATATCGTATCTTGCTTTGAGGGCAAGAATCTAATACCTCTATGTATAAATATAGGATTGATTTGTACTCAATTTGGGAGTCTTAAATTTCAAACTCACACGATATTTCAAATTTATGAAACACTGATTTTGTTTATTTAAATTGCCCTAATAACCTTATATAACTAGCAAATGATTATTTACAATGTGATTTATATAATAGTGCTAGATGAAACAGGAAGATTCAAATCTTGTTTATTTCAAAAGGTTTCATTGTTAGGTATAATGTTCTTATAATTAAGGAACTAGTGTTTTTATAATAGTTTTTACATCAACAAATGTGATTGAATATTTAAGAAATAGTGCTTTTGCTTTAGGAATTATAATTGTGATGATTAATAAAGGTATTCCAAAAAAAGAAGAATTTAATAATTTATTTTCAAGTACTAGAACACAAAGTCCAAGAGTATATGATACTTAAGGATTAATGATTATTGATTCATAGAATTTGAATTGTATTTATATGAATGAATATATTAAAAGGAAATTAGGTGATTAATAATTAATAATAAATAAAATTGATTCATTAAGTAAAAAAAAATTAGATTAGAAAATACGGAATATTGAATTGTTTGAATTATTAAATGAATTTAATTTAAAATAATTATCTTCTATGTAAATATTAGATTCAAATATAATGGCTGATCATATTATTCAAGTAACAAGAGATGAAAACTATAATAAAATTAATATAACATTTTAAAATAGTAAAGAAAGAGATGATTATCTTAAGAAAACATATTTATATTAAATACTAAAATAAATATTTAATACTATATCACATGAATTTGGAACATTATTAAATTTTATGTTAGCAATAGCATAGGTAGCAATAGATAAATATCCAAATTAATAATATTATTATTCTATTAGAAATACATGTGAAATTATGCATAATTTTATATTTGATATGGTTGATTATAATGATATTTTGGGTAATTAATTTAAATTGTAATTGGAATAATTAGATATCTAAACAATTTTGGAATAAGTTACAACACTATTTTAAGAATAATGTACATAAAAAGATTTATAATTGGATTTTGAAAATCATATTCCAGAAAGTTGGTAAATAATATCAGATCAAAGAAGAATTAAATAGATTTTGATACATTTAATATCTAACGCTTAGAAATTTACTTTAAGTGGTTCAATATAGATAAAAGTTATGGCTACAAATGATGATTTGATATAATTCTCAGTAACAGATACAGGAATTGGAATAAGTGAAAATGATGAATAGAATTTAAGAAATATGTTAGAATAAGATTATAAAGATGAATAAAAATTGGCATAAAATACAGCTGGATTTGGATTGGGCTGTTATTTAGCTAATAAAATATGTTTGCATTTGTCCAATAAATAATTTAAATTAGAATTTAAGAGAAATGAAATAGGAACAACATTTTGGTTTTAAGTTTAAAATAATGTTTTACCTACTTAAAGTATAGGTAAGATATTGGGAATTTAATAAATCAATAAACATTCATATATTGATTTAAAGTAATCCTAAATAGAGAGAACTGTTGGAAAGAAGTTAAGTAGAGTAGCCAGTAAAATATCAATTAATTCAAAATCAAGAGTTGTATCCTTTAGATGTTTAATTGATCCTGTAAAGGAGAATACAGAGAGTGTTATAAATGAAGAAGTTAATTCAATAGAACGAAAAGTTAGAACTTGTACATTAAATAGAAATATCAAAAAATCAATTAAATTTTTGATAGTTGATGATGAGATTATTAATATTCTTGGATTACAATTACTTTTAAAAAGAATGAATATTGATATTGATTATGTATTTAATGGAGTAGAATGTTTACGGTAGATTGAATAAAAGAAAGATATTTATTAAGGTATATTTATGGATATAAATATGCCTTTGATGGATGGATACGAAACTACTAAGAGATTGATTTCTCTTTATGGAAATTAAATTAAGATTATTGCTTGCACTGCCTACACAGATAGTGAAACTAAATAACGTTGCTATGACATTGGAATGAGTTACTTCCTTAACAAGCCAGTGAACATCGTAGAATTATAAAAAATACTTATATAATTTTAATAATGATATTGCTAATATTTGCAAACATTTCATCAATCATCTTATAATTTTGGGAATGCCAATAAATTATTGAATATGTCTTTCTAAGCATATCTATAAGCATTGATATATTTCTTATTGCTTTCTCTTTTAGAAATTAGTAATAATACTTAATTAGAATGTTACTTATGATTTAAGCCTCAATCCTTTTTTCAGTATTTAAAAATCCAAAGCTTTTAGCAATCAATGCAATATATCAATGTATAATGAGATAATTAATGTAAACATCGAATCTATTATTTAATTACCTTGAATTTTCAAGTAACACTTTCATTTTATTAGGTTTTTTTGTATTGATAGCAATTTTGAGTACAAGATATGAATTATTTGATATTATGCGTACATCTATATCAGCAATTTTCTTTATTGGTTTTTAAGTTAAGATTCAAGTTTCCTTAAAATAAAATTCTAAGAAAGTAGTTGAAAACCAAACAGAATAATTCCCAATACAAATAGAAACTGAGGCAATTATAACTTAATAATAATAAATTTAAGTGCTAACAAATTATCCAGAAATTATACTAGATGATTTCTTAGCAGTTGTTCATTCAAATTAAAAGATGAATGAAATGTTATATCAAATGAATTAAAATGACGCAATAAAATTCTTACAAGAAATACGTATAACTAATATTGATTCTATTTCTGAAAAGAAATTAGGAAGATATAGAGAAGACTCATTATTATTATTATTAAGAAGAATAATTAATAAAAGATCAGAATTTTATGTTTAAGTTTTGGATTATAATCATCCATTATTATAAAAATATTTAATTTTGATTCATTATAAGAATTACTTTTAAATTCAATTTATTTAAGTAAATGAAAGAGATACTTTTATCAAAAAGAAATATTTAAGTTAAATTTTATATTAATTATTCAAATCAATCTCCCATGAATTTGGAACATTATTAAATTATCTCTTAGCATTATCTTAAGTAGCAATAGAATAATTTCCAAATTAAGTAGGATTTTTTTAACCTATAAAAGCAACAGGATAAATAATGCATCATTTAGTTTAAGATATGGTTGATTATAGTGATATATTAAATAAGAAATTCCAGTTGCAATTTGCACCTGTAGATGTGGAAAAATTACTATAAGAAGTTATAGGTTTCTATAAGTAATAAATTGAAGAGAAAGGTTTGACAATTTGTTATTAAATTATATTAGATGATAAATCAAAATTTATTGATGGAAGAAGATGTCAATAAGTTTTAAATAATCTAATTGCAAATGCATAAAAATTTACAGTCTAAGGAGGAATCAAGATTACTGTTACTGAATAATCAGGTTTTACAATATTTTCAGTTGAAGATACTGGATTTGGTATGAATTAGGAAACATTCGAAAATTTAAATTAAATTTTAGAAAATGAATTTAAGTCAGAAGAAAAGATTTCATAAAATACTGCTGGATTTGGCTTAGGTTGTTATTTATCTAATTAAATTGCTTTGAAATTATCAAATCTATCAATGTTAGCTGGTGGAGGATTAAAATATATTAGATTAGAAAAAGGAATTCGTGTTTCTTTTAAAGTAAAGAATTAACCTTTTGAAATATTATATACAAGTTGTGATATATAATCTATGAAATCTGGAATTTTATTTAATGAAAATGGTTATTTTGATTCTCGTCAATCTATGATAGATTTATAATTAACAAATAGAAATAAATCTGCAGAAAATCATTTAATGTTAACAGTGAATAGAAAATCTGCTTTATTATCAATATCATTTTCTCCAAATTAAATAATTTATTAAGTAGAATAAGAATTGAAACAAGAAAATGAAATTGCTGAAAGAGTTAGACAATGTTAATTTATTAGAAGAAGGGAAACATAAAAAAAATCACCTACTTTTGGAGCTTCTTCATCTGATATACAAGATATAACAAATATCAGAAATTTTAGAGAATAATCACATATATTAATTGTTGATGATGAAATGATTAATATTATTAGTTTAAAGATTCTGCTAAATTAATTTAATATTAAATGTACTTTTGCTTTTAATGGATTAGAAGCATTAAATAAAATTAAAGAATGTATTAAATAATATTAATTATAATAGCTAAAGAAAGATTTGATTTGATTTTTATGGATGTTAATATGCCAATGATGGATGGATTTTAAGCTACAGAATAAATATTAAAATTAGATGATAATTTTATTATTGTAGCATGTACTGCTTTTACTGATGTAGAAACAAAAGCTAAATGCTACTCTGTTGGTATGAAGTACTATATCAATAAACCAGTTACAAAATTAGAACTTTTGAAATTATTGAATCACTTAAATTTAATTATATAATGATTACACATAGAAAATAAGCCATCATTGGAATGTACATTCTGTAAATCATCAATACAACTTTAGAATGCACTAGAGCCCCCATTTTGAATCTTATTTTGCTTTTAATAAGCTTAACTATTAGTCTATTCTAAATAGTACTATTAACAAAATATAGTAACTTGAATATTTATACTCAATTTGCAATAAATATTGTGAGTGTCTTTGCCAAACAAAATGATCAATTCATGATATTATAATCACTAGTTGGATTTACAATTTTTATGTAAATTGATTAAATAAGATGGCAAATTAATATCCTTGCTTGTTCAAGTAGTATTGGAAAATTATCATAGTCCATGTAACCCTAATCTGTATATATTCATAAAATAATGAAGTCCAATCTTATTTGATGACAATATTCACTATTATAATAGTAACTTATTTTTCTTGGGCTGTTAAAGAGTAAAATAGATAAAAAGATAAAAATAAAGGATCTTTACTGACATCTCGAATGCCTAATACAATTAAATCCCTTATTTCTTTAGAGGATATACATTTTATAGAATAAAAAGCTATTGTTCTTGATAATACATCAATTCTTGAAGTGAGATCTTTTGCTAATGATCTTAGAGATATTTTAATTAAAGATGATATTTCTGAAGATAATTTTTTAGATCATATGAAAATACTCAAAGTAGACAAACAAACCTAAAAAAACTTAAATTAAAAAATAAAAGGAATTAGTATTCGTTAACTTATTAGCAAATGTTAAATATTACAAAAAACAACAGAGATAATAATAATAAAAACTAATTTTATATAATTAGAATATTATTAGATAAAATTGTATTTTGAAAGAGATGTGATTATTTTAAAGTTTGAAGAAATTAAAGAGTTTGCCAAATACATTAAAAAAAATTCATGTTATGCATTAATGAATAAATTATTTTAATCCTTTAGTCATGAGTTTGGAACATTATTGAATTAAATAGCTTTAAATGCATAGAATGGTTTTGCCTAATTTCCATCTATGAAGGAATAATTTGATTCAATTTATAATTGTGTAGTTATGATGAATAATATGGTTAAAGATTTAAAGGATTTTCATTAATTACGTAGTAAAACATTTTAATTAGAAATTGTTGATGTGAATATTGATAACATTTTTTGTGAACTTTAAAACTTATTCAAATAATAAGCAACATAAAAAAAGATATCCCTAGTTTTAGTGAATAAAGTATATATCAACTTTAAATAAGATGAATAAAGAATTAAATAAATACTTTAAAATCTTATTTAAAATGCTATCAAATATACAAATTAAGATGGAAATATTTATGTCATTTCAGAAAAAGAAGATGATAAAAGAATTAAATTTTCTGTTATAGATTCAGGTATTGGTATATCTGAAAGTGTTGCATATAATATAGAATAAATGTTAGGTAATGATTTAATTTTGACATCAAAACTTTCAGAAGGTGCAGCTGGATTAGGTTTAGGATTGTTAAATTCTAATTATTTAATTAAACACTTATCTTCTTTTTAATAAGCACATAAAGAACATTTATAATTTACATCAAAATTAGGAGATGGAACTAAATTCTGGTTTTATATTTGGAAATATCAAGTATTAGAATCACCATCTAGTTAATTGGAATAAAAATCAATAAAAATGATAGATAAGAAAGTATTTCTTCATTAGAAATCCAATATTGCACCACCACTTTCCAGTATTATTTAGAATCCTAAAAGTTGTCCATCATAAATCATAAGATTGACTCCAAGTAAATCTTGCCAAATTAGTCAATAGCCTTAAATATTTTTCCCATAGAATATAAAGGATGAGAATATTATGATAATGGAAGAAGATGATAGAACAATTGCAGAAGATCCTAAACCTAATCATTTACCAGGTTAAAGAGCAAGATTACCATCTATGAGTTCACCATAATGTTAATATGTTAAATTACTACTTGTAGATGATGAACCAGCTAATTTATTCCCTCTTAAGATCATGATTAAAATGCTTGGTTTTGAAAGTGATATAGCTATAAATGGATAATAAGCTATTTAATAGGTGGAATCAAGATTAAATTAAAAATGTTAATATCATTTAATTTTAATGGATATTAATATGCCATAAATGGATGGATTTCAAACTACAAGATCAATTAAATAGATATAACCTGAAATTATTATAGTAGCTTGTTCAGCATTTAGTGATATGTAGACTAAATATTAAGCCTAATTACATGGAATGATAGATTATCTTGAAAAACCAATAAATAAAGAAAATTTATAGCAAATATTGGAAATGTATATGTGATCATTATTATTTATACAATTCCTTGCCTCTCTTGATAGCTTAATCAAATAATGCTTTCATTCCTGGCTCTTATTAAATCTTTAATGCTTCAAAGTAAGATGCAGCAGCCTCTCCAAATTCATTCAAACCTTCATAGGCTTAACCTTCATAATAATAGATCTTCACCCAATCTTTCTTAATATTTCTAGCCTATTTACAAGTAGTTAATATATCCTTATATTTTGATAATTTTAATTAAGCATTTGCTAAATTTGTGTAAATCTTCACAATTTCATCTCTATGATGTTCAATTATCTATTTAGATTTCTCAATTATTTCCATATATTTTATAATTGCTTATTCATATTATTCACTTTATAATAATTTATTAGCTTCAACCTTTTCAGAATTAATCTCATTATATACATCCTTAATTTATTCATCAGTTAATTATTTTGGTGGAGAAGGAATTTATGCTTCTTTTCTCATAGCAAATTCTCTATAATATTATACACAATCCCATTTTTCATTTTATACTGCTAAATCTAAAGGTGTTTATTTTTAATTCTCATAATTAATATCAGCACCAAATTAAATCAATATTTATGAAAATTTTAATAATCCTTTTTCTGCACATAAATGTAAAGCTGACCATCCATCTGGATCTTTTATATTAACATCAATTTTATCATGAAATTCTTCAAATATTTTATCAAATAATTCTTCATTATTTTAGTCAATTATTAAATGTAATAAGGAAGGCATTTAATTTTAAATGATATTTAAGTCTGCTCCTTTCTTTATCAAATGGAGAGCACTTTAATTTTGTTAATATGCCACTGCAAAAGAAACTGGAGTACCATAATTAGATAATGCATTGATATTAGCTCCTGCTGATAATAATAGTTCTATCATTGGAATAGCACTTTATTATGCAGCTAAATGAAGTGCTGTAATTGTATTTCTTTAATAATTAACATCTACATGATGAACTTCAATCAAATATTTAACAATCTATATATGATTATGTTAAACAGCAATTATAAATGGATTATTTTTATCATCATCCAATAAAGTTATATCTGCACCTTTCTTGACTAAAAATTTGAACACATCTAAATCTCCTCTTGATGCTCCAAAATGAATTGCCTTCTTTCCTTTTCCTTCAGATATCACATTTATGAATGTTCTTATGGGAACTTTTTCATTCTCATTCCCTCTCTTACGTTATTTAACATACAATAGATACTTTTTAATAGTATCAATATCTGAAGTACTAATTTATTTAAAATATTCTTCTATAAACTTTTTTTCCTTCTCTATTTCTTAAATATCACTCATTAATAATTTATTATATGAATTAATCGTAATTTTTGCAATCCTTAAACTTTGATCCACTCCGAAGTCCACCGTTAAGAGAAATTGCTTAAAGACATCAAGTTTATCTCAATTAATAGCTAGAGAGCAACTATGTGTGGTTTATTGATCGAATCTAATGATTATTGCCAATGCTGTGGCTTGGGAATTCACACTCACCCTATTTCACTGAAGGCAAACATTATCAATTTAGCATTTTTGGGTCAAGGTATACCATTGTTTTATAATATAACTTTTCTCCTCATTTTACTTACATTTATATTATTCCTTATTTTTGGCCTGCCCACTATTATTTTTAATTTTTTAGCTGAAAATTGCATAGAACAAACAAATTAGGCTTATAATATATTTATTACACAAGGTTGTTCTAAGAATTGTCCAAATGAAAATGATGATTTTAAATAAATTCAATAACTTATTTCTACAAGTGATTGTAAGATCATTTGTGAACACTATTAAGAATTATGTGTAGCAACTTTATTATCAGAAATGTCATTTCCAAATAAATAATTGGATAATGATTTAAAAATCATATAATCTTTCTTTGTATTTGGATCAGTGATTTTTATAAAGATTTATCTTGTATTAATAAGGGAAAAATAAAGAATAATTGAAACAGAATGTGATTAAGAATTAATATCTCCTTCAGATTTTACTGTTATGCTAAATCATTTACCAGAAGAAGATTATGATGAAAAAGAATTAGCTACAGCAATAGAGTAATATTGTTAGAAAATTAATAATTAAATTAAATATGAAGTAATTAAAATTAATATTGCATATGATATTAAATCATTTGTATTAAAAAGTAGAGAAAAAATTAAATTAGAAAAAATATTATCAAAAGAATAAAAATATTATATTAAAAATTAGAAATACAAAAGAAATAAATAAGAAATTGAGAAAATAAAACTTATGGTAGAATAATTAAAAAAAGATTTATATAGTATAGAATTAGAAATTGAAAATGGATCATATAGAAAGACTACATCTGTTGCATTTATAACATTTTAAACTAAATAATGTATCATTTATATATATATATTATATATAGAATTATAAAAATTAATACAATAAACTAAATTATCTTATTGGGAATAATTACTTATGCATGTTAAAAGATTAATATAAAACAAGGCTAAAAGAGGATTCTATTTTAAAGATAAATTAATATCAATTCGTAGAGCACCTGAACCAGATGATATATTTTGGGAGAATTGTGGTATTGAAAATTCAATAAAAATAAAAAGAAAATTTATTAGTTGGATTGTAGTTTTTGTTTTATTGGGAATCTCATTTGCTACACTTTATGGACTTGAATATTTACAAGTAATAATTATTTATTTAATTTAAGAATTAATATCTTTCAAATGATTTAGATTTTATTACAAAAACATCAATATCATTATTAAAATCTTTAATTATAACTATTGTTGATGCTCTAATTTATTATTTTATAACTTTACTAGCTAATCATGAAAGACATGTAACTAAAACACATTAAGATACTTCAGTTGCATAAAAATTATGTTGTGTACAATTTATAAATTCATGTTTTTTATTACTTTTGATTCATTTAATAGGTGTTGGATAAAAAGGGAATTTTATGGAAAAATCAAAATATGCAATCTAAAAATAAGGAGGTATTGCAAATGATTTACTTTTTGTTTGTTCTATGAATGCTTTATTTACTCCTATTACAGCATTTTTTAATCCTATTTATTTCATTAAGAAATTATAATAAGTTTTTATAGAATCCAATAAGAGTTTAAATTAATTAGAAGCTAATAAATTATTTGAAGGTCCATAAGTATTATTATATGATTAATATGCATTCATTTGTAAAACAACTTGGATTACTTTATTTTTAGCCCCATTAACTCCAATTTGTATATTTATTAATTGGATTGGATTATCATTATATTATTGGATATAAAAATATTTATTATTGAGAAGAAATAGCAAACCTCCATTTCAAAGTAGTCATTTAGATCGAGAAATGTTAACACTTTTAGATTTAAGTCCTATATTGTTAGCTGGTATGTAGTATTGGATTGATGAAATATATGTTTCCAATAATCTTAGTCATAGTATAAATATTGGAACATTAGTGATTGCAGGATTGGAATTAGTTTTTCCATCTTATAGAATTCATTAAATTTTATATAGAAAATAATTAGATGATATCGAAAATTAAAGATATGTTGATGTTCACCTTCGATTTCCAACTGATTATGATAGAACTAATCCGTTGACCAGCGAACAAGCAACCCAAGAGTTTCTGAAAAAGAAATATGAATAATTTAATAAATCAATGACTTATATGAGGCACTCAAGAAAACATTCGACAAAAAAATCTTTGAGAGAATATGTTTTAAAAGGAATCTAAGATCCAACTAAATCAAGAATATAAGTTCTTAAGAAAAAGCTTTAAACTGCTTATAAATTAAAAATGTTTTAAAATGTTTAGATATAATAAGAAACCAATTATAAAGAATCTGATCATGAAGATTCAATTCATACTTTTAATTTCCCAATATATTAAAGAGCTCCATAATATAATTTTTAAAGAGTGATAAATCAATTTCCAAATTATTCCTAATATAATTCAGATCTCACTAATAGAAGTAATTCTATTACTTCAACTATATAATTAAATACATCAAAATATTAATTAACAGCAAAAAGAAATTCTTAAATCTAATCTTTTAGAGCTCAATTATAATGATAATATTAAATGATAATTTTCTTCAAAAATAATATATATATATTAAAGATATTTTATATAAATATAGTTTAATAAGCATTCTCAATTTTCAAATTTATTTGGGCTGAGAAATTTAGAGAAATTATAGTTCTAAGCATCTTAGAATTTATTATTGTAATCATTATCAGTAGAGATATTTAAAGAATTCTTTCTTAAATTAATATTCTTATTGACTATCATGTATTCAGGTGTTTATGAATATATAGGTTCTTATTAATCTTAAGAAATCTCTTCATCTTATTATTATTAAATAACTGCAGCAATCTAACGAGCTTTCCTTATAAGTTTAATTTTTCTCATCATTGAAATTTTTAATTTTAATGAAATAGTATTTCTCATAAATTGAACTCCTCCCATCTAAGCATATTTATATAATGCTGTTTTAGTATCCATAACTTAAGGTTATATATAATTAGTATCAATTAATGTTTTAGCTTTAATAAATTCTAAAATTGCATTTTATTAAGTCAATGGATTAGTTCTATCATAATCTGTTGGTAATTTCAAATAAACATCTTAATATCTATCCTTTTCTGTAAATATATTACCCTTTTTATCAAATAACTTACTGATTCTAGTAGCTGGTGTAATTAATTCCAAACAAGAGAATCCTAAACTAATAAAATTTACTGTCAATATAGCTGAACTAGAATTGAAAATATAATCTGTCCACATTTATCCAACTGCTAATATTATAGGACTTAATTCAAATAAATTCATCATTTCTCTATTTAAATGAAAACTTTAAAAAGGTGGTTTCGAATTTCTTCTTAATAATAAATATTTTTATATCCAATAATATAGTAATAATCCTGAACTACAAAATAGTAAAGATATAGGTAATAAAGGAGCAAAGAGTAAGGAAATCCAAAGAGATAAACAAATATATGAATATTGTTCATATAAAAGTACTGATGGTCCTTCAAATATTTTATTAGCCTCTATTTAATTAAAATTATTATCAACTTTAAAAAAATATTACTGATATTATTTATAAAGATAAAGTGGATCCAAATAAGCAAAAATAGGAACAAAAAATGAATTAACAATTAATAAAAAGAATGCATCTGATATTACTCCTCCTTATCTTGAATATGAATATGTTGCTGCATAATTATCAGCTTTGTCATTTTCAAAATTATAAACTAAAATATTTATAACTTTTGTAAATATTCCTGAATTAAAAAATTAAACTATTGCTAATTTAGTTGCAACAGAAACATCATGATGAGTTTTTGTAAAATGTTTTTCAGATTATCCTAATAATTTGATAAAATAATAAATTATCTAATTTATTATTGTTATTATTAATGAAATAACTAATGTTACAATTATCATAATAACATCATCAAAAGATGATAGATTTTAACTTTATAATATATTCAAACCTAATAAAATAGTAAAAGAAGCTCCTAAAATAAATATTGTAATAAAGAAATTCAATATTCTTTTTTGAAATTGATACTAAAAATTAAATCCACAATTTTCCCAAAACACATCATTTGGTTCAGGAGCTCTACAAAATATTATTATTCTATTTTTAAAATAAAATCCCCTCTAATCTTATCTATTGATTAAATAATATTTGAATCGAATCCATAACTCTTCCCAATAAGATAGTTTAGTTTAATCTAAAACATTTTATAATTCTAAGAATAAAATAAATATTTACATTCTTTAGTTTAGAATGTCACAAATGCTACCTAAGTTTAATGAGCATATTATTAATTTTCTACTTCATTCTCAATTGTCATTAATTTTTAATCTAGAACCATGATCCTCTCTTTCAATACACTAAATTAATTAGTTTTTAAAGATCTAGGATATCTACCATATTATTTATAATAATTTTCTATTTTCTCTATTTTCTTTTCTAAACTCATCTTTTCTCTACTACATTCAACAAATGAAGTTATATCATATGCTATTATTATTTTAACTATTTCATATTGACCTTTCTCATCAAATTAATAACAAAAATCTAATAATGCATCCTTTAATTCTGCTTCATTATATTCATTTATAGGTAAATTAGTCAACATTGCTGTGAAATCTGAAGGTGATATAAATTCTTAATCACAAATTCTTACTGTGCTTCTTTATGATATTCTTACTCTAATCATAGCAAATTTAAACATCAAAATACTGCATAAGACTAGTATAGATTGCACCAATTTAGAAGTCTCATCGAATTACTTGTTGGCGTATGACATTTTAAGAACTGATGTTTCTAGACAAATATCTACGATTTTAGCACATATAGTTTAACAATCATTTGAGTGAACCAATTTAGTGATAGATAAAAAATCAGTCGTATTTTACGGACAGTTTTATTTGCAAAGTCCATTTAATGAAAGCTTATAAAACATATTTTCTTCTCCAATACAATCATGATTTTATATATTTGCTATTAAAGATGGTATCCCAAGAACTGTAAATAAAATAAGCACTATCAATATTAATTACGAAGTCATTTCAAAAAATAAGGGCATACCTTAACCTAAAAATGCCAAATCTAATCTATTTTAGCATAATGAAATTTCCCTTTGTTGTATATGCTATCCACAACAAGGACAATGATCCGATTTTTGCTCATTTTCTCCACAAATAGAAGCTTTCTAATTAGTAATCATGCTTACCTAATGAATTTTAGCCAATGCAATACTGGCTGGTATGCGAAAAGGATCAAATGTTAAAGAATTCTCAGCATCAATCTTAATTTAATTCATATTTTAAACTCCTATTGATTGAGTATTATTAATTATTTTAATTATCAAAATGTAGGAGAACTCCAAAGAATATGACGCTTTTTAGATTCCAGCTGATATTAAGATATCTATTAAACATAAAGTATAGGAATATAATGACTAACAAGAAAGCCACAAAATGTGGTACTCCATTAGAAAAATCTGAGTTATGTCCTTGTTGTGGTAGAGAAGTTGAACAAGAGTAAAAAGAGATTGGGATTTCACCTATTGATTTAATTTATTTAGGTTAAGGAATCCCTTTGTTTTTTCTATTTCTTAAATAGATGATTGTGGTGATATTAATAATTTTTGGAATAATGGGAATATTTTCATTGATAACCAATAGTATTACTGATAATTGTCTAGACGATTAAAGTGATTTACTGATTCTTTATTAGAATGGATTTTGTGAGAACAATTGTCCACTTCCTTAAAATGAAGACTTTTTGAAAATAATTTCAATTTTAAAAACTTAAGAATGTTAAATTATTTGCAATTAATTTTCAAATGTTTGCACAACTACACAATCTACTAAAATAGCTTTATCAAATAAATAATTAGATGATGATTACAAAGAAGCTCAAGCAATACTTGTATTGTGTTCAATTATTTTATTTAAAATAATTTAAGTGTTATTTAGAAGACATTAAAAATTAACATAAGATGAATGTGATAGAGGTTTATTGTCAGCTTCAGATTTCACAGCAATATTGACTAAATTACCTTAAAATTAATATACAGAATCTGAATTAAGGGATTGTCTTACAAATTATTGTAAATAAATTACATAATTTTAACCTGACTAAGAGTTTGAAATAGTTAAAATAATAATTGCTTTTGATATATTTGATTACATAAATATCATAAGAACTAAAACTGAATTAGAAAAAAAGTATTAATTTAATGAATCATTTAAAAAAATTAATACTTAATATCCTTAATAAGTAACAGTTGAAACTTAAAAATAATTATTATAATAAATTTAATAGAATGAAGAAGAACTAGCCAAAATTGATAATGATATTCAAAAAAAATAATTCACTTAAACGACACAAGTAGCTTTTGTAACGTTTTAAACAAAAAAATGTATTGAACATAAATATTAGCTTAGAATTGGAAACAATTGTGGAATACACTAAATTAACAACTTGGGATCTAGTTTGGACTGCAATATTAAATATTTTTGGGAAAAAACTTAACAAAGGCTTTTACTTTAAAGATAAATTAATTTAAATTACAAGAGCTCCTGAACCTGATGATGTATTTTGGGAGAATTGTGGATATAATTTAAAATACAAAATAAAACAAAGAACAATAAGTTGGTTTATAACATTAGTATTACTTATTACATCATTTTTTATTTTATTTGGATTAGATTATGTTTAAAATAATTATTTGAAAGATCAAAATATTAATTATGTTCTATTAACAATAATTTCTTTAATAATTTCATTTATAATTTCAATTATTAATGCAATGATATATTTTAGCATAACAATTTTAGCTAATAAAGAAAAGCATTATACAAAAACACATTATGATGTGTCAGTTGCAACTAAATTAATATATGTTTAATTTGTAAATTCAGGATTATTAATTATGGCAACAAATATTTTAGTTTAAGGATTATCTAATCGAAAAGAATTGAATGAAGATATTGAATTATAAAGTTTGGCATTTAGTAGACCAGGAGGTGTAGCATAAGATGCTTTTATTATTACATTAATAAATGCATTAATAACTCCATTAACTTCATTTTTTGATATATTTTATCTAAGAAAATTAATTTTATAAAATCAATTGTAAAAAAATGCAACTAATACAGTCACATAAACAGAAGCTAATACAATATTTGAAGGACCTTAAGTATTATTATATGATAATTATGCATATGTTTGTAAGACAGTTTGGATTACATTATTTTTTGCTCCATTAGTACCTATTTCTTTATTATTTTGTATTTGTGGATTTTTTTTATATTATTGGATATAGAAATATCTACTATTAAGAAGAAAATGTAGACCTCCTCTTTAAAGTAGTCATTTGAACAGTGAAATGTGTAATATAATTAATTTCAGTCCTATTTTATTGGCTGCAGGATAATTATGGGTAGATTTTGTATTTGAATCAAATGCTACAACAAAAATTATCAATTTTGTTTCTATTGGTTTTTCTGGATTAGAGTTTTTTTTTCCATTTGAAAAATTAGTTAAAAAATTTATATCTTGGCCAGATGATCCAAATGAATTAAATAAATACTCTGAAAAATGGCATGAATTACCTACTGATTATGATAGAATAAATCCAATTACTAGATAATAAGCAATATAAAATTATGTTAAATTTAAGTAATCAGTTGATAATAAAGGGAATAATTAAAATAATCAATAAAATGATTAAACTTTATAAGCATTAAGATAATATGCATTTGAAGGAGGAGAATACAAATTCAAATCACATTTAGTACATAAATTAAAAGCTATCAGCAATCTATAATCTAATAAATAAACTAATAATATTCCTATAAGTTTAATTGAAATGCAACCTAAAATAATTAATTAATTATAATAATAAGAAGATAAGACTACATTATTAGGATAATAATAATATATCTCATAAATTGAAAGAATGCAATAACAAATTTAGCAACCTACCTCCATTCTATAAAATTAAAATCCTTATAATGGATATCCTCCTTAATAATAATATTATCCATAAGATTTGAATAATTAATAGTTACCATACTATCAATAAAATATATAATAATAATATTATCAACCTTATTAATAAAATTAGTTTCCAAATGCGTAATAACCATACTATAATCAAGGACAATAAGTACATCAATAGTAGACAGGACAATATCCATATTAATAGTATACAAATCATTAATATCATTATTGAAACATTTATATATATATATATATATTTTTTGATTACATTATAATTACAATAATATGATCGATTAAATAGTCAAAGGGTTTTAAAAAATTGATAGATTTGGTGCCATATTTAGACCACCTATTGTAGATATTCATCCGGAATATAGGTCGGTTCTAGGAGGAATTGCTACACTCATTTTATATGGATCAAGTCTTGCATACTTTATGTATCAAATAATCTAATGGCAATCTAATTAATTATTACCAAAAATTACTTAGATCTAAACTTCTTATCATAAAAAATACTATAATATTGAAGATCAATTATCCTCATTTTACATAAGAAAAAACTATAAAAATGATTAAATTGACCCATTCGACCCAGGAAACATCATTTTGTAACCTATCCTTTCTAAATTTGAAAATTAACAACTTATAAAATCTTATTCTTTTTACTATAACTAAAAATTAGAGAAATAAGATATTTATGAAGTTATTTTAGAAAACATAGAATTGAATTTAAACCTTAACAAATCAAATGATGATCCATAAATTGAATATTTATTATCATTTGGAACATGTATGGAAAAATATTTATTAGATGGATAGAAATGTGCAAATGAAACATTAGTAAACACTTATTTGAATTAAAACAGTCATGCAATAATATTAAATCATTTTGTTAAAGAATATAATTCAAAATAAAAACGAATATAAAATGTGAAAAAACAATTCTTAGCAATCCTTACTAAAAATACAACATTATATTTCTAAAATTAAATAAGATTATCTAAAACATAAATTGATGATGGTTTCTTATTTCCATCTAATTCTAACTAAGAATTTCCTATAGATACAATAATTATATCTTAAACTACAGTTCCTGATAGTTTTTAAAATATATTTGGCAGAGCAACTTATTTAGTTATGGCATATAGTTTAAATGAAGTAATACAAGAATAGTATATAGAATATCCAAAAATATCTGAAGTACTGGCTGATATAGGATCTATTGTTTCTATTATCTTAGTTTTATCATATTTAGTTATCTTTTTTAATGAACACAATTTGGAAAAAGAATCAATTTAAAAGGTTATTTAAATGTATTATCCTGAATTTTGTAATATTAAATATAATTAAAATTGGTATGGTAAAATTATTGAAGTTAAATACAATGATATTCTAATTGATAAAGAAGAATTCTTGATATATTATAATAAGATTTAAAGAATTGCATCAAAGAAACTTAGTATTACTAATATTTTATATACTTTGGCAAAATTACAATTTTTAGTTTAATCAACTTATAATATTGATAAAATCAAATTAGCTCATAAAATTGGAATCAAACTCAAATAATTTTCTAAAGCTAATAGTATACCTTTAATTTAAGAATAATTGAATTGTTAAGAAATTTCAAGAAATGAATCCAAAGATCAAGTCTAAATTCATGATATTGCTAATATCAATTTTAATGATTAAAATAATAATTAAAATTCAATGATTCGTCATGAAACTATTAATAAAGATAATTCTAAAAGCATATTCTTAAAATTAAAAGAGGAATGTCATCTATTAAGTGATGAAGATTTCTAACTTTTTACAATTGATGAACCTATTCTTATAGATAATGATATCTAGAAATCAGATACATATTTTGAGAATAATTTTATTGATCTTTGAAATTATTTATTTTTTTTAATATTTTTATAAAATTAATTATGAATACTTTAACAAAAATTGCAAAACAATTTTGTAAATAAATTAAAGAAAAAAAAGATGATATTTTAAGCAGTGATACATATATTTATGCAAAACAAAAACTTTAAATAATCAATGATCCTAAATTTATTCAGAAAACTATTAAAATAGAAGAATCTGCTAAAGCTAAAAATTATTATTTAACAAGTAAACAATTTCCAATTTTACTTTGTGCTGGAACATTATTCTTCTATCATTTATGGTAAGTAATGCCATATTCCAAAATATTTAAACATACTTCTATAAGTGAGTATACTAAAGACCTTCTTTATCCAATTTTATTGGCTCCTTCATCTCATTAAACTACTTAATCCTTTTTAACATATGTCCCAGCTTTAATATGTGGATTGTATTTAAATGGTTATTATATGAATTACAAAGGAATGATAGGATTGTACTTAATTAATAGTTTAGTATAATTATTTAATTATTTAGTTAAGTAGTGCTATAACATTTTATTATGAAAAATATAGAAATTAACAGTTAGGAATATCAATGATGTCACCAAAAACAACTGGAGCTTGCACAGCTTTAGCATATATCTTTTCATTTGTTGTCCTCTAACCTGAATATATGATAAGAGTATTTTAATTATACTATCTAGAAAAAATTTCCCTTTGCTATCTTTCCTTTGTTATATATTATTTATGAAATTGAAGAATTTTTAATGGATGATCAATAAAATTGTAGACCAGCTCACATAGCATCTATGATTATAGGGGCTACATATGGGCTTATCTTTAAAAAATATTACAAATTTTTATGAAAATTTTAGTAAATGTTTAATAATATTAATATAAAAAATAGTATATTTCATTCTTTAATTATTCTGATCCCATTTCATTAAAGATTATCAAAAAAATATAATTTTCTTATCCATATTTCAATATCTAGAATATGTGAACAGAATAATTGTATTATTATCATTGTAATCGTAAAGATAATATCTTTATTGAGCAGGACAAACGAGAATACTATTTTTTATTTAATATATTTTAAAATGAGCCCTATTTCGATAATATTTATGATTTGATGCTACCTTAAAAAACATTGATCATATCTCATTATTTTATGCTTTTCATAGAATAATATGATTAAATTAAATGCAATATATGTAAGAAGAATTATCTTTAACTTATTCAAATAATAATTTTTTTTAATTTACTCATTCCCAATTATAATTAACAATTGTACATAAAATGTTTAATAAAAAGGAAAACCCATCTAAATAAGATGAATCGATATAATTTTTGAAAAAAAATACACAATTAAATATTCAAGTATATGATTGTGATAACTCTAGGAAAAGATGCTTTATTTTATTTAATTATACATTTTTTTTGGAAAGTTAACTATGTAATTTTCAAACACGTACAAGATCTATTACAGATGGAGTTTATTGAATTTGAATAAACAACTAGTAAAATATAAATAAATAAAAATAAAATAAAATAAAAAGGATTAAATTATATATTAAGAGGTTTAATTATATCAAAACATAAGGGAATTTATAAGAGACATAAGATCAAATGAAATAACGTTATCATTATTTGGATAGGTTATGTAGAATTAAAATATAATTCACTTGATTATATATTTATATTATATATAAATAAGAAAGGAATGAATAATTATAAAAGAATATTTTAATAAATTAATTTGATTAATTTATAAATTTCAGAAAATTGGAAATTCATAACTTGAGTATTAGTTTCTTTGTGATTAGTGTTTAAAATATCTTTAATATGTATAATTATATATATATATATATACTCAAATATTAAGTTTGACTTTGAGTTCTTCTAAGTTAGATTGATTAGTGATAAATGGATGTTTATTAACTTGGTCAATAGTAAATCTTTTATTTGGATCTGGTTCTAGCATATTTTAAATCAAGTCTTTGAAATCAGGATTTGTTGGAGTTTTTATTAGTTTATCAAAATAATTCCAAAACTGTTGCCACTTTTATTAAATAATGGTATTCCAAAATTTACATTTAGATTGTATGGCAATTGTAAAGGGAGGATAACCATAAGCTAAAATGAATATTACAACTCCTAGAGCAAAAACATCAGTTTTTTTGAGTGAATTAGAATTGATGATTTTTTCATCTTAGTTGAGTTCTGGTGCCATATAGGTAGATGTTCCACAATGTCTAGGATATTATTTAGATGTGTGTAGACAAACAGATAGACCAAAATCTATAATAAACAATTTGGCTTCTGAATTGAGCATGATATTCTCAAGTTTAATATCTCTATGAACATAGTCTATAGAATGCATATAAAGTAAAGCATTTGATAGTTATAATAGAATTTATTGTATAGTAATACTTTATAATGGACCATGTGTAATAATGAGTTAATGAAGGTCTATTTTCATCAAAGTAGTTGTGTACCAATTATAGTTTTGATCAAATTCTAAAATTGAAATAATGTTATCGTGTTTAAGAGAATTAAGTATTTTGATTTCTCTTTCACGTAATTTACGTGAACACTCTTTAAATGATTTTAAAGCACATTATTTATGATTAATAATACATTTATTAATTTCACTAGACAATCCATCACCAATTTTCTCAAGTACTTACATTTCTATTTTAGTAATAATAATATATTAAATTAATAATGAATTTAAAAACTTTAATTCTGATCAATTACAGATAATAATATGAAAGAATTGCTGAAAATATGCNACTTGATTATATATTTATATTATATATAAATAAGAAAGGAATGAATAATTATAAAAGAATATTTTAATAAATTAATTTGATTAATTTATAAATTTCAGAAAATTGGAAATTCATAACTTGAGTATTAGTTTCTTTGTGATTAGTGTTTAAAATATCTTTAATATGTATAATTATATATATATATATATACTCAAATATTAAGTTTGACTTTGAGTTCTTCTAAGTTAGATTGATTAGTGATAAATGGATGTTTATTAACTTGGTCAATAGTAAATCTTTTATTTGGATCTGGTTCTAGCATATTTTAAATCAAGTCTTTGAAATCAGGATTTGTTGGAGTTTTTATTAGTTTATCAAAATAATTCCAAAACTGTTGCCACTTTTATTAAATAATGGTATTCCAAAATTTACATTTAGATTGTATGGCAATTGTAAAGGGAGGATAACCATAAGCTAAAATGAATATTACAACTCCTAGAGCAAAAACATCAGTTTTTTTGAGTGAATTAGAATTGATGATTTTTTCATCTTAGTTGAGTTCTGGTGCCATATAGGTAGATGTTCCACAATGTCTAGGATATTATTTAGATGTGTGTAGACAAACAGATAGACCAAAATCTATAATAAACAATTTGGCTTCTGAATTGAGCATGATATTCTCAAGTTTAATATCTCTATGAACATAGTCTATAGAATGCATATAAAGTAAAGCATTTGATAGTTATAATAGAATTTATTGTATAGTAATACTTTATAATGGACCATGTGTAATAATGAGTTAATGAAGGTCTATTTTCATCAAAGTAGTTGTGTACCAATTATAGTTTTGATCAAATTCTAAAATTGAAATAATGTTATCGTGTTTAAGAGAATTAAGTATTTTGATTTCTCTTTCACGTAATTTACGTGAACACTCTTTAAATGATTTTAAAGCACATTATTTATGATTAATAATACATTTATTAATTTCACTAGACAATCCATCACCAATTTTCTCAAGTACTTACATTTCTATTTTAGTAATAATAATATATTAAATTAATAATGAATTTAAAAACTTTAATTCTGATCAATTACAGATAATAATATGAAAGAATTGCTGAAAATATGCACTTATAAATAAAAATTTAAGAATCATTCTACTAAAATTCCATCTTTCCATACTCCTCTAATATCATGTCTATCAGAAGTAGAATATATTCCTTAACCATCTATCATGCCATCGTTAAATTCTCCTTCAAATTATTCTCCATTTGTTAATACAAGAATTCCTTTTCCATGCATTTTGCCTTCATAAAAATCACCTAAATTAAACTATAAACTAATAACCTTCATAACTCAGCCATCCATTCTCTATATTACCAAGATCTCTATAATCATATGGTCCTTAAATTTATTCAACTTAGAAATTGATTAATTTTCCTTAACCATGGTATTAATTATCTTTCCAATATCCACTATAGACTTCATTCTCATATTGATCAGTAAGCACTCCAAAACCTTCCCTTACAGCAGGTTCATATCCTTATCCTCTATATATAAATCCATCTTCGTATTACAATGCTAATTATGTTTATTATTATTATTGTTATTATTATTATTATTATTATTATTATTATTATTATTATTATTGTTATTTATTTTAATCTAAAGGATTATATTTCTATACTAAATCTCTAGTTCTATCAATAGCATCTTAGAATCTCTTCTCTAATTCATCTTCTTAAAAAGTATTGACTGGCTAAATAGATTTAATTTAAGGTGTTTGTTATTGGAGTGGTTATTATTATGTTTGGTGATAATTTTATTATGGAAAAATCTATTGATTAGTTTGATTAGGAAGTGTATATGTTTAAGGTTTTTGTACTGAATATCTTGGAGCAGTTTATGGTAGTGTTTATTATTATTGTGAATTACTTGGATAAATTAATTTTTAATTGTTAGAGTATTAAGGATTGATAGAATTAACAATTGGGATTTGTTATTAATGAATAGAATTTCGCTATTATCTAACAGGACTAGGTTAGTAAATTTATTGGGATTGAACAGTGTAGACTGGTTAGGATTATCTGACTTATATAGATGATTAATATTAGTATTATTGTGGTTATGGTTAGGTATAAATTACAAAAGCTGGTTGTGGTCTTCTATAAGTTTGAGGTTGATAGGGTGGTTAATAATAAGTTGGTCTTTATTGTGGAATGATAAATTATTTAGGTGGTGGTTAAGGAGATGTTAATAATTATGGTCTCATTAATTTTAATTGATAATAATTTTAATGTATAGTGAATAAAATAAGAGAGTTATTAAATTAGATGAGGATGAAGAAAATACACCAGAAAATCTTATTACAATTTACGAGAAGATGAATCTAGAAACAGCAGGTAAAATTTGGGAATGTGTACATTCATTTTCATTAATTTATAGTCTTTAATATTGGGGAGGTATCTAATCAAATAAGCATACTTCAATAAGATTGAATTAGCTAATAAGAATGTACTAGAATTGGGTTGTGGAACTGGAATCTTGAGTATCATTTTAGGAAAGCAAGGTTGTAATGTTTTAGCAACAGATTTACCTTAGATTGAAACATTATGTGAATAGAACATATCAAAGAATAACATGACTAATCAAGTGAAATTTAAAATACTTGATTGGAATCAAAGTAAGCATAAAACTGATTGTTTGATTGATAAAAAACATATTGATATTATAGTTGCTAGTGATCCAATTTATAATTAGAAAACCTTTGAATCATTCTTTGCTTAATTAAAAATATTATATGAAGTGTTAACCAATAAACCTATATTATATTTAGCTCATAAATATAGACATGATGAATTTGATAAAAATTTGGAAGATTAAATTGAATAAACTGAATTATGGTTTAAAAAGGTTGATTCAGAACATTTAGATGATTTATGGAAATCATAATAATGCGTAGTTTATAAAATAGGTAAATTTTGATTGGTTATTGGTTTATCACATATATATATTACATTTTCATAATTTACTTTATGTTAACCAAGCATGTTCTTAAGGTTTCTTTTATCCATATGGATTGATTCTAACATTCACAATATAACTTTATTAAGGATTATTAATAATATCTTTCATAGCATTATGCAATTAATCATGAGTTTCCACTAAAAAGCCTTTACCTCCAAATGATTCACACTTAAAATATAAATAAAATATACTAATTTCTCATATCTTGAATTAGGATTTAAGGCAGTAACTGGCTTTTCATTATTCTTTTAGGATAATTCATCTACACCCATAAATATTCCATTATTATTTATAATTATAATTACCAATGGAAGATTATATCTAGTTGATGTTTCAAATTCAAATCCTGAAAATCCAAATGCACTATCTCCCAAAATGGCAAATACTTATTTATCTCTAAACACTAATTTTGATGCAATTGCAAAAGGCAATCCTATTCCCATTGTTCCAAATGTTCCACTATCCAATTTTCTTCTTGGTATATCATGTTCTATTATAGTTCTACCTACATCCATTGTATTTGCACCTTCACCAACATAAACACAATCTTTTGGTAAATACTATTTTATTATACCAAATGCTATTAAATATATTAATATTTATAATACCACTATAATATTCTAATGGAAGTTCTTTATCATTCATTAACTATTAATTTATAAGAGTATTCTTATTTCTCTTTTCAAATAATTTATCAATCCATTATTTATTATTAAATTACCAATTTCCAAATGATTTCTATAATTAATCAATTACCAAAGAAACATCTCCAAATAATGTTGTTGTTTTTCTATTATTGTTAAATTCTTCTGGATAATTATCAATTTAAATAAATTAACAATTATCATCAAATCTTGGAGGTAAACCAAAATGTAATATCCAATTTAATCTTGCACCAACCAATAAAATTACATCTGCTTCTCCTAAAGCTGTAGATCTAGCTGCAGATACATTTAAATTATTAGAATCAGGAACTACTCCTTTACCCATTGGAGTTGGTAAGAATGGTAATTTTGTTGATTCAATAAATTTTATCACCTAATCTTCTGCAAAACTAATACTAGCTCCTTTTCCTACTATGATCAAAGGTCTTTTTGCATTCTTCAACTATTCAACAGCTTAAAGTATATTTTTTGGATCTGCCAAACTTCTTGGTATTTATTCTAATGTAAATGAAGGTACTTTAATTAATTCATTTTCAGGTATATTGCTTCTTAATAAATCACCTGAGACTTCAATATAAGTAACTCCAGGTCTACCTACACAACTTTATCTGATTGCTTTTTCAATTAAAATTGGTGCTTATCGTAAATTGGTTATCTATAAATTATTATATTGAAAATACTTTAGCTCCAAATTTAATGTAAGGCTTAACAATATTCCATTAATCACATTCTTAAAATGCTCCATATGATTATTAACCATTTTCTGAACTTCCTGCTACTATAACCATTGGCCATCCATTGACTTGAGCATTTGCACATCCTGCTAATGCATGAACTAAACCAGGTCCACTAACTACTAAACAGATGGCAGGTAAACGAGTAAGATATCCTATTGCTCCACATGCATAAGATGCTCCTTATTCATTTCTGAAACCGTAGTATTCCATTCCATTAGCTTAAAAAGCATAACCTAATTCAATAACAGGGACTCCAACAATGCCAAAAACATATTTTAGATGATTTTAAGCAAAAGATTATGCAATCACTTAATTTCCTGATATCATTTTAATTAATCAATATATAATATTTATTAATATCTTATATATAAATAGGATATATTATAATTGCAATTTCTTAAGTAAGTAGAAATGAGTTTATATTTAATTAAATTATTGAAAATAATCAGTTAAATTTAGATAATGTGAAAACAAGTTTAATTTATGGTAAACCTTTCTAGAATAATACACATTAAAAGAATAGTTTAAAAACAAATTACTATAGCAATATGTAATAGAAGAGAAAATATAATAATTAAGTTTTCCCATAAATTTGGTCCTTTTATATTAATTGTTTTGTTTTATTTAGTTAATTATTATTATTTTTCTCTTTTTCTATTTTTATAGATTCTTAATCCAAATATATATTATAATTAAAGATTAATTGTTTGGTTTAACAATATAATGCTACTTATGATATTTTGATATTCGTTACTAATTTTCGTAGATTAGTGAAATTGTGTAAATTTAATTGAAATCATACATATAGGGGTACTGATTGTAATTTATATGTGTATATTGACTTAACAACTTTAACAATAAATAATTAATGAGTGAAATTTTGAAATAAATGTTGTGGTTAGTTTCGATAATGAGTTTTGCGGTTAACGGATTAATTGATATGTATAGAAGTTTTTTATCTATAGAGAATCACATGTGAAAGGATGTTTAGATTTAAGTTGTACAAAACTATGCTAATTGGGAGTAGCTGATTGTAGCAAGACAGTACCAGTATGTGAATATGGTTATTTCTTATTCAAGGAGAAATATTGTGTTAAATGGTATTATATATAGGAATATTTAAAGTCCAGGATTCTCATCAGAAATGCGATTTGATTGTATGGATTGTTTGGAAAACCCAACCTCGTGGGTTGAAAATAGATAATGTAGTTATGGATATGAGATATAAAATGGGGATTCTACCAGTGGTGTTTTCCAATAATAAAACGATACTTAATCTAGTTTATATTTTATTGTAGGCTCCAATTAATAGCCATCAAATCTAATTGATCGTCAGGTGAATCTTCCATTTATAGTATAATTATGTGAAGGATGTGAGGAGTTTTGTGATGATGAGGATGATGAATCATGTAACTTTTTTGAAGATTATAATAATAATGATGTTGACCCATAAGTTGGAGTAACATGTCTAAAAGGCTATTATTTTGAGAATGATAATTGTTTAAAATGTGACAAATATTGTTCAAAATGTGATGGAAGTGGATGTTAAAAATGTTAGAAAGGTTATCTATTAAAGAATAGTCATACATGTTAAGAATGTCCATATGGTTGTTTGGATTGTGATTTTGGATTTGATGGTATTTCAATAGAATGTTATGAATGTGAATAGGATGGATTAGGAGAGTATTATTTGCCTAGTATATTTTTGGCAACTTGTGAAACATGTGAAAATGGATGTTCAAAATGTGAATATATGACATATGATGATACTATATATCCAAAATATTTAACTAGGGATATAGAGGTTCCATTTGAAGAGGATGTTAATAAATATATTAAGAGATGTAGATAATGTAGAGGATCTAAATCATTTATTAATTCTAGTGGTGTAAGTTGCTAGAATTGTAACATAGATAATTGTAAATAATGTTACTAAGATTTGGGAGGTGGAACTACAACTTTAGATCCTGATTTTATTCCAAAAGAAGGAGATTTTGATATCTTATGTTATATGTGTTCACCTGGCTATTAATTGAGTGCAGATAAGAAAAGTTGTACCACTTAAACAGATCCTGATTGTGCTATACTCAATGCTGATGGCACTTGTTAATTATGTGCTAATGGATTAATGTTTGATGCAACTACAACTCCAGGAACATGCACAACTACTATATGTAGTTAAAGAATTTTAAATTGCATTGATTGTTTTGCATATGAAGAACCTGATGCTGATGTAACATATGATGAAAATGGAAATCCAATAAGATCTTAAAAAAAATAATTATAATGTATCAAATGCACTCCTGGATATTATCCTGATTTCTTTAGTGGAAAATGTCTTAGATGTAATTCTAATTGTAAATAATGTTGGTAGAATACAGATTCATACAATTTAACTTCAATTAATTCAGTTTATTAAATTTATTCTTAGACTTCTAAATCATTCTTCCTTAATGAAGATTTGAATGATCCATAATGTACATAATGTTATAATGGTTATGACTTATATGATAATGAATGCTAAGGATGTGGAGATGGTTGTTTATTAGATTAAGTCTCAATGTGTGTCTTTGAATTTGATACTGCTTATTGTTCATAATGTCCTGCAGGTTAAAGATCTTTGATTAATGATAATAGTGACTGTGCAGATTGTCCTCTCTATTGTGAAGCATGTAGAGAAAGAACTAAAGATGAGATTAATAAAATCAATCCATTATTTAATCCAAGTAATTCAGATTTTCAAAGGTTTTCTAATCTTTGTTACAAAATTATGAAAAATTTTGATGTAACTAAAAATTTATACCTTGATACTATTACATATATGCCTACTGCTTGTGAATATCCAGGTACATCAAAGAAATGCTATTATACATCAACTATCGATTTTAATTTAAATTGTAATGAAGAGGAAAGTGTTCCTGATTCTTTAGATTTATCAACTATTTTTAAAGGTAAATCATCTACTGCTACCCTAATTTTGAAAGAAATTGAAAAATATGAGAATTATTTGTTATTGAACAAAAATGCAGTATAAGAAATTACTATATAAATTAATATTCATGGAACAGAATGTAGATTCACTAAACCTACTTAATTTAAAACATTGTTTTAATAGAATGTATTTTCATTATTAAAACTAAATATACATTTTAAATCTTCTACATCTGCTACTTTCTATTAAATAGGACATATTTAATTTTCTAATATCAACAATTTGAAATTTGAAAATATTAAATTTGAATATAACGATGAAATTAATTCAAAAATAAGAGAGTTTGGTATCACGATGATAGGTAAATAAAGTTCATTTTCATTAATAAATTCTGCAATCTCAAAGGAGGATTCATTAATTTAGGGTATATTCTCCTTCAATTTTTAAGGAGTTTAAACCTTTACTTTATAATAAGTTGAATTTTCATATTTATAACCTATTGATCAATTCTTAAATTAAAATTTTACTTAAGAAAACACTTACACCTTAACATTGACTTCAGTAAAATTTACTTATTGTAAATTTATTAATAATCAATAATTATTTGATTAGAATCCTGTTAATAAAACTAAAATAATAATAAATGATTTAGTAATTTATAAATCAGAATTTATAGGTACCAATATTTTTGGTACTCTAAACGGATAACCTTATGCAACAATAGAATTGTCAATTACTAATCTTAAAATCTAAATAAGTTCTTTCATATATTCAAATTTCCTTATAAGCAATTAATTAATTAGTAGTTCAATTTCAAATGTAGATATCTTTACAAGTTAATTCATTTCTTCAAATGTGTTTATGTTGAATCACATAAACTTATAAAACATCTATGTAGGATCTAACAAGATATTCAACAATTCTATTATATTTTCTACATCTCCTATAGTGGATTCATTTATTGTTCCAAAAAGTGTTTTATAAGATTTTAAGATTATCAATGTTCGTTGTGATTAGAATGAGTGTAATAGTATCAATTGCTTATTTTATTTATCAACTCCTTTAAATACATATAATGTTTAAGCTAATTTAAGAATAGAATCTTTGTAGATAATAAAAACATCAACTTTAATTTATACATAAATTATTAGATATATAGATTCTGCTTTATGTGTATTCAAATAATTTTAGAATATTAAAATATCTAAATTGAAATCAGTTGATAATTTGGGTTCAATAGTGTTTTATTTTGATGAAATTAAATCCATAGATGTTGATACATTATAATGTGATTCAATTTAATCTGATTACATAAGTGTTTATGATGAATATGGTGATGATATAATGGTTGAAAATCCATACAATAATTTAATTCCCTCTTCAGACTATTGTGCTGAATAGTTATGGTCATCTAATAATTATAATTTTTATTGTCTCTATATAAATGAATTCTCACATGGAGTAAAATTGAATAATATTATTATAAGCAATTAATTGTTATTAGACTTTAATGCAATTGTCATATAATCTTATGACATACTAAAAATGAAGACTACTAGAGTAAAAGACAATTTATAATAATTTTACTCAGACTATGATAAAGAAATCATCATAATTACAAATATAAATGCATTTAATAATACTTTACTTGCGTATGATTTGGGATCATAATTGTCTTTATTTTCAATTAAATCATAATAATAATAATAAATTGTCATAAATAATGCTTAATTCTAAAGTAATCATTTGCATAAGACATCATTATATCAAATGATGATTAGTGCAACTATCTTTGTTATATAATCATAATAAGCTACAATGAATATATCGTATGCAACATTTGAATATAATAGAGCTACTCAATTTGAATATGGATTAAATTATATTTTAGTAAAATCTATAAACATTATTAATTGTTGGTTTCGTTCAACAAATTAATTTGATGGAGTTTGGTTTAATAAATTAAATGAAAATTAAATGAATAATACAATTTAAGTATGGGAATTTTTTTAAGTAAAATCTAAAGGTGCTAATTTGTATTTAGTAACTTAGGATATGAAAATGAGGGATTGTTAATTTATTGATAGTTATGGATTGGATGGAGCAGGAATGTTCATAGTAACTTAAGGGAATGGTAATTTGTTGATTAACAATACAATTTTTAAGAACATCAAAGCCAATTTAGATTAAAAATATTTAACATAGGGTGGATGTTTATCTATTGATGCCAAAGCTTCAGCTCTTTAACTCAACTTATCATTTATTAATATGGAGAATTGTGTTAGTAGATCTAAAGGTGGTTGTATTTGGATAGGTTCATCTAAGAATTTATAATTAATTTAAATTACTGATAGTAAATTTATCAAATGTCAATCATTAACTTCTTAATTCATGGATATCTAATTCTTTGACGTTAACAATTAAATAGTGTAAATGAGCAATTTAAAAATTGAAAATAATAATTTAAAAGAATTTTTATCAAGAGTTCCTGCTTTAACAGAAACTGAAATTGATTTATTCAAAACTTCTGCTTCTGTTTATACATAAACAAATGGATAATTAAGAATGAATAATATTTAAATATTCAATATTGTTAACTAAAACATAATATATGCAACCAATTTATACAGAGGATATTTCAATTAAATTTAATTTGTAAACAATACAATTTTTAGTGCTCCTTTGATGCGCTTTACTTTAAAGGATGAATTAGGAACTGGTTATTTAGGATCAATAACATTCTCTGAAAACAACCAATTCATACCTTAAAAAGAATTTGATGAATGCACCAACTTATTTTTCATAATTCCAACTTTAGCTTATGATGAATAAACATGTGATGCTTGGTAAGAGAATATTGCTTTAGTTGATTAAATATTTTCTGATGCTCTTCTTAACTTAGATGAATTAGAATTAGATGATGAATATTTAAGTATGACTAATAAAATTAAATATGAATGGGATGAAATCGAAAATTAATTACAACCCACAGTTGATGATCTTCCTCTTAATTTTTAATATGATTAAAATGTAAAAGATTGTATTTTTTATAAATTGTTCAATGAAATTTCTAATAGAACTGCTGCTTACATTTAAATACTTAATATTAGACAAGGAAATTAAATTAAAATTGAAGGATTAGAATTAAGTAACAATAATTGTACGGTCTGTACCTATGGATTGTTGTAAATTATCCAAGTTGAAGAAGTAGTAGATATAATAACAGTAAATTATTTACTTTGTGTTAACAATCATTTGTCCTATTTTGGATGTTTATCAATTACTAAAAATAATTAATTAGCAGATATTCAATTCAATAAGCCCTTATTTGGAAGGAGATTACTAACTGAAACCAATGATTAATATTCTATATAAGTAAATAACTCAAGAATTATTAGTAATATGGCTTCTGTTGGAGCAGGTATAAGCATAAATAGTTTGAATGTAGTATTTGATAATTGTGAATTCTCTAATAATATAGCATCCTTGGTGGGAGCTGGAATCTATTACTATACAATCGATTCTTATATATAGATATTCAACTCTAAATTCAGTTATAATTAGGCTTAAGTTGGATCGGCAATATATTTAGAGGGAACACAATTGAGCAATTAAACTAAGTGCAAGAATTAATATGTATAAAATATTGGTACATCAACTTATGAAGATCCAGTTGCATTAACAATCACAATGAATAATTAGAAAATGCCAACCATTCCATATTCAGTATATACAAATGAAGATGGAGATGTTATATCGAATACTGTAAATATGATTGATAAATTGTCAATTGAAAAGGTCTAACTATTGAATTATCCAGAAATAACTGATTTCTTGATTTTACCTTCAGGACAAAAAATTGGAAATTACAAGTTCTATTTTATTGATACAATGGAATAAATACCTTATGATTGGAATATGAAATTAGTTTATTTAAATAGATTTGGTGAAATTTTGGCTTAGGAGTATTCTTCAGATTCATGTTACATTGATGGTAGAATATAAAATATTAGTTTTTATGATAATTCTAAAGATTACACAAGTAACTTTACAAATTTAGATAAATTGAATTATAATGTAGATGATTCCTCTTTTAATTTGGATGAATTAATAATTACATTTGATCCATATATTGATGAAGAACTATATTTAGAATTGAGATGTATATTAATTAATTTTATTATTTAGTTTATTGTTCTAATGTGAAAAAACCTGTTTTGTAAGCTGATTATCCATACAATGTTTTATCCTAAAATGACAACTATTATTTGATTTTGAATATTAAAACTTATCCTTGTCAAATGGGAGAAGCTTATTTTGATTAAAAATGTGAGGCATGTGATATTAATCAAAAGAAATTTAGTGTAGTACCAGACTCACCTCAATGTTAATCTATCAGTTCAGAAAGCATGTTAGATGTTACTCCAGTTGGAATTAAATTAAAATAAGGATGGTATAGACCATATATTGATAATGATCAATATGAATATTGTTTAAATCTACCAGCTAATTGTAATGGTGGATGGATTCCAGGAAATCCTTCATGTTATACTGGTCATATTGGTGCTCTATGTGAGAGTTGCGATCTATATGCTCTTAATAATGATATTAGATATTCCAATACTGAAAAGTATGTCTGTTCTCCTTGTCAAAATACTGAAGAATCAAGTATAGGAATATTAGCAGGAAATACAATTGCAACAGTAGCCTCAATTACCTTATCAGTTAAAGGCACATATGAATTGGTCAATCAGTTTTTGATGGTTAAGAGCTTAGTTTTAATGGGAGCCAGATTTAATCAAAATGCAAATTAATTAGCAACTCTCATCAAAATGCTAACTAACTATTTCTAAATAATACAAATCGTTAATCAATTCTAATTAGTATTACCTAAGGGATTAACCAAAACAACAGATGCAGCAGGTAATCCTACTAAATCAAGTTCATTTAGTTTAGACTGTCTACTTGAACCTATGACAGACATTAATATGCTCTATTTTAGAATGATTTGGGCTCTTGTAATGCCATGCATTTATTTGGTTATTTATTTTGTGCAGTATTTCTTTGGAGTCATGATTGGCAAAATCCCTTACAAAGCTCCAATGATTACAACAGCCTTCATTTATATGTTCATCTTTGCACAACCTACTTTAGTAGGAGGGTTTATTTAATTAGGAAGTTCAAGAATCATATCAGGTGTCAATTGGGTTTAAGCTGATGTTGCCTATCGAAGCGATACTGATTAGCATCAATTATGGGTTGCTGCATTTGTTGCACCTATGATTGTCATCTGGGTTGCTATTCTACCATTAATATTTCTTTATCGAGTTTACACTTATAGATTCCATTTAAATAATAGACATATTCGTTCAAGATGGGGATTCTTTTATAATGAATATGACACCTCTGCTTATTATTGGGAATTTGTGAAAATCTTCTAAAAAGAATTAATGGTTATTTTTCTTACATTTTATGAAGATTATGTTCTTATAAAGGGAGCTCTTGTAATTTTAGTTTTGTTATATTATTCATGGATTTAAATTAATACTAAACCTTATGCAAATAATGATCTCAATCATCTTGATCGTTACTCAACTATTGTATGTATTATAACATTGTTGATTGGCTTATTAATTTACACTTCATAAGAATATGATACATAATATTTAATTATAATCATGTTCGTTTTATTAGGTATCTTCAACTTATTATTCTTAATATAAATTGTATTTAAAATATTTGAAGGCTATTTAGTAAAACTTTCTGATAAAATTGATCCAATTAGAGATATAATTTTAGCTAAAAAACCTAATATCGTATATCAATATCCTAGTCTTAGACAATTTTTGAAAAATAAAAAAAAAACTACCCAAAGAGTAAATGATCTTTGGTGTACTTTGAGATCTTATACAAAAGAATAAATACGAAATAGGAGAAACAACTAACCAAAATATGAGTTAATTAATAATGCTCCTTACGATTTTGAAGCTGCAAAATTACCAAGAGATGCTGCAGCAGCAATTGTTCCGATTATGGATGAATAAGTTCCAGAATATTTAATGAGTGGAGTTGCTAAGGAATTTTTAGAAAAAGCTAATGGTTTTGCTGATACTTTTAAAGAAGATTAAAATTAAACTAATTAAGACAAAAAAAAAGATAATAATAAGGATTAAGGATTTTTAGGTGGTTTGAAAGCATATATGCCATCTGCTGTTAAAGATAAAATAGAAAAAGCAGAAAAAAAGATCGATGATGTTAAGAAAATGAAAGAATAAACTGAGAATATTGTTGCTAAAGGAAAATAATTAGGAGGAATTAAAGATTAACCTACAGATGAGGAAGAAGCCAAATTAAAATAAAATGAAGATGAATAATAAAAACAAAATGAATAATAATAATAATAGGGAACAGGAGGATTCTTTGGATCTATTAAATCTTTTATGCCTGATAGTGTGAAAGATTAAATTAAGAAGGCTGAAGAATAATAAAAATAAATTCAAAAAAATATAGATGATGCTAAAAAAATGAAAGATAAGCTAGAATAAGTTACTTAAAATAAGGACAATTTACTTTAAACTGGTATTGATTTTATGCCTGAAGAGATGAAGGCTCAAATGAAAAAGGTTGAGGAAGAAAAAAGGAAATTAGAATAATAATATTAGCAAGCTAAAGATATAGCAGAAAAGACATAAAATGCTGCTAAAAATGTTTAATAGGGTAATATTTAGGGATTATTACCAAATGAAGTTTAAAATAAATTAAAAGAAATTGAAGAATAGAAAAAGATTCTAGAAGATAGTCTTAAAAATTAAATAAATATAGAAAGATCTCCTTTAGATATTGGTAATCAATCATAATAACCCCTATTAAATTAGGAAAATTAATTTGAGATCTTTAGAAATGATCCTATGCGTATAACTAATAGCAACTTCTAAAATTTTGCTGACAATCCAAAGAAAAATTGAAAATATTTAATAATTTATTTTGTTATAATAAATGTATTTGTAATTTATACAAAATGGAAATGATTTTGTTACTTTTCCAATAAAAATTAAATTTCTTCAAGTTGGTTTACTTTTTACAATTAATTCAATTTAATTTGTAGATAAATTATCATCAGTTTAAGCATGAATATTTTTATGATATTATGTTCGATGATATTAGAATAAATATACTAAAGGAATAAAACCTACAAGAGATAAAAATAACATCAATTAATTCATTTATTGATAGTTTTAGTAATTTTCAATTTGCAACATGCTAGCAACAATAAATGAAAAACTTGTTATTTCTATTGATGTTAATTTAAGAATTAATACCTATGTTTATACAAGCAAATGTTAAACCAAAACCTGTTCCAACCATATGAGATGGAACAATTAATGGTATATGTGGCCACATAACAGCATAATATGTTCCAAAAAATAATCCATTTAATATACTTCCAATCATAGGAAATGCAACACATGATGTATCACATTCTGGCATTAAATAAAAGATTGTTGTAGTTAATAATTAACAAAAACTTGCAATTAACAAAATTTCAATATTCTTTCCTTTTTTATCTATATAATGTCCAACAATAGGACTTAAGATTGCAGATAGATAATAGGGGATGCTAAATAATGTATTGGCAGTTTTCTAATCCAATTTATATCTAAATTTTCTTATTAGAATTACATATGCTTAAACATTTCAACACTGTTGTAACCAAAAATAAAAAATACTGCATAACAGGTTACACAACTAATTAAAGTTACATAGAATTCAAGACTAAATTGTTTTATTTATCTAAGATCAATGCTATCTAATTTTTAATCAGATGTTTTATCTCTTAAATCACTACATCTATCAATTTAAGTGAGAATAACAATAATTATAAAACTTAAAATTGCTATATAGAGACACATTAGCAAACATTAAGATAAATCATTGTTTGAAGTTGTATATAAATAAGGATATATGATAGCAGCTGCAATTGATCCTAATCTGCAAATACCAGTATCAATTCTATGATAGTTTATAAATTTACCCAAATGCAAGAGAATTTTCCTTCCCTTTAAACCATTTGTTAATATAATAACTCTCAGCCACAAAACCACTTGATTCAAATAATCCAAAAATAAATCTACCAATTACCATCACAATAAAACTGTTCAAAATTACTGACATGAAACACAATACTTTATTTATATTTCTATCATAAATACGTTAACCAATAATCACAATTGATCCAAAAAAGACATAGGATCGTCTTACTCCAAATGTATCTATTATCAAACCACCGATTAATGACATTATCATATTTGGAAATGATCGAAATGACAATAAATAATTAATTTCTGCCTATGACACTTCAAAATATGATTTTATCTACTCTCCCAATAATGCTGGATATTCACCTATTAAGAACTGCACCAATGGATAAACACCAATTAACACTAATATAAACCATCTTAAGTTTGTATCATGCCAAGAAGTCATTTTTTCCATTATTTAAATTTAATTTTTTATTTCTTTCTTTCTTGATTATAAATTATAAATTCATATCTCCATAACTCTCTATAATATTTAATATATAAAAATTCAAATATTAAAATGTCTGTCAGAGCCTTATATTAATCACAATAAGATGTTGGGAGAAATATCAAAAGGTAATGAATTACACATATAAATTAGTTCAAAAAAAAAGTACACTTGGAAGTTTAGTATAGATGATAAGGATCATACAATTGAACTGTTTGTATCAGGTTTATCTGGAAAAAAGAAAGTTGTACATAATGGAAAAACCTTAAGGGAAGAAGCATCGTATTCTTATTTTATTTATCTATTATTTTAGTGTCTTAGGAAGTTTTAATTATTCCATGACCATTTAAAGTAATTTATTAACAATATCAAATAATGGAGATTTGTATGACCTAAGGATAAACAATATGTAATTCAGTCATCTTTATCACAATGGTAATTTATCATCTGAATTTAGAAAAAACAAAAAAAGAATTTTAATTTGAAGATGGATACAATGAAGGAAACAATTAAGAAGATTATTACTCTAAATTACCAAAGCCATCTAAATAAAACAAACCATTATATAAAGAATAAGACTAAGGATATGATTTTGGTTTGGTAGATGATATAGAAAGGATGGCTCCTAAGAAAGGATTAGAAGAATAAAATGAGTTCAATACTCATTCTAATTATTAATAAAAGTTAAACATTTAATTCAAACCTAAAGATGATCCATATGCTAAATTTAACGAACCAAAGCCTTAATAAAGACAAACCTAATCATTTTCAAATAAACCTTAGCAACCACAATCAACATTTAATTAATAATAAATTAAAAATGATTTTGCAGATTTTGGCAATTTTCCAAAACCTCAAACCACAACAACTAATGAAAATGTCTTTGGAAATTTTGGATTTGGATTTAATGACACTTAATAATAATAACCAAAACCATAATAATAATAATAATAAAATTAATTTTAACAAGACTTTAAACCAAATCCTTTTGGAGATTTTTAATAACCTACTCAATAAACTCAACCAACTCAACCCTTTTAACAATAGGGACAATCATTTTAACAATAGGGACAACCATTTTTCTAATAACCACCTCAATAATAGGTGATAGAGTAACCAAAACCAAAACCTCCTCTTTAAACGAATTTATTAGATTTTGGAGATGATCCCATCCAACCCTAATAATAATCGTAAATACCACCTCCATAATAATAAAGTTAATAATAATTGTTATACCAACAATAGTAGGTTCAATAATAATAATAATTACAGTAATAACCTTTATATAAAAATCCAATCAATTAACCAGTTTAATAAAACCCATAATATGCTTAAGCTCCACAATAATAATAATAATAATAATAATAATAATAATAATAAAAAGTTCTACCTTAAGATTTATTGGATGCTTTTGATGATCCTGAACCAGTAGTATCATAACCAAATTCATAGTAATAGCCTTAATTCAATATAACTTCATTATATTAATAATAAGTAATTTTTACTTTTATTGTAGCCTAATGTTCCTATACAGTCATCAATAGCAACATAATCCCCCCCATAATAATAATAATTTGTAATTATATTATTTATGTAAATTTAGAGATAAAGTATGCCTAATCAATATCAGCCTTAACCTTTTAATCAAATGCCATAACAATAATATTAGAATCCTTAGATTTCAATTACATAGTTATATAACCAACCATAAGCTTAAATCAACATGAATGTCCCAGTTTAAATAAATGTAAAAACATAGTCAACTCCGTTTGATGATGTATTTTGAAAAAATATAAAAGAAAAATGGCTATTTTTATGTATTATAATTGTTATTATTTAATGATCATCATGAAGGAACATATGATCTCATTATTTTGGAATTTGTCCCTTAAACTATTGAACGACCTTATTAATTCACTTTATCTTTCAATTCATAGTTTTCAATTTCTATTTGATTAGCCTTTTTTCTTAATTATTCATATTACTATTTTAGTTCATTAAGCACTTAATTGATGTTTTTATTCTAATTTAATACTAAAATATACTTGCAACTCTAATTAATCTTTATCCATTCTTAAACCTTATATTTTATCTTCATAATATTATTCTCTTCTACGAATTTATTCTTCTAATTCTTAATTCTTCGACTTATAACTGTTGTTCTCATGTTCTAACTTATATTTTTCAACCTTGTTATTCTATTCATAATCTTCCCTTTCTTATTTTAGTCTATGATTCTCTTTTTATAATTTTTCATTCAAAATTTCTTTTTGATTTAAAAATTACTCTAGCTCCGCTATTTTCTAATATTTGTTTATAATTTACATTTTCTCTATTTTCAACAGATTATTTGTATTTAACCTTTTGCTGTTCTATTACCTTATCTTTTTCATTTTTTAAAGATTCTAGTTAATTTTAATGTGATTAATTCATAGAATCAATTTATTGTTAAAGCTATCTAGTTTTAGAATCATAATTATCTATTTCAAGTGTAAGTTAATTTTCCTTTTCAGCTCTTTTCTGCGATAATTTAATACTATTAATTTAACTTAAAATTTACTGTTCTTCCTCTCTTTTTTACATGAGGTCCATTTTTCTATTGAGATCATCTATTGTTAACTATTTTTTATTATTTTCTTTTTCTGACTCATGAAGTTTTTATTAAAAGCTTTTAGTATCATGTGAAAATTAATCTCTTTCCTCGTTTATTGAATGATTTTCAGCTTCTAATTCTTTTATCTTTCGTGATTTATCAGAAATTTCTTATCTTAATTTATCTATTTCAGATTCAAAATCTTTCTACTAACTTTCTGAATCATTTACTAAAGCTTAGTATCTTTTCTCTAATTCTTCATATTATAAGATTAATTTTATATTATCCTATTCAAATTTTACATTTTTATTCTTCACTTCTCTTATTTTACTATCTGCATCTTTATTTGAACTAAGTAAATCTTCATATTTTCTTTAATATTCTTATTTTAAATCTCTAATCTCACTAATTTCAGTTGATAATTTCTCGTTTTTTAGTTGATTTTCCTTTAATTGTTTTTTTTATAAATCACAATCTCTCTATAATTCTTTCACTTTTCCCAACAGTTCTTTGTAGTTCTTCAACAATGTATGATTTTCTTATGTAAGCTCTTTCACTTTCTCTGCCCAATCATCCTTCTATAAGCGCTCTTAATTTAAATATAAATATTTTACTGTATAAATTAGCCATTTAATCTTATATTGTTCCATTTTAATATATATTTAAAATAATTTCACATTTTTTTTCTAATTATTCCCTCAATGTCTAATTTTCTTCAACAAATTGTCTTGATAATTATTCTAATTAACTGATATCTTATTTGTATATTTCAATCTAAATAATTATAAAATATATTTAAATTTAATTACAATATGCTTTTGTTCAGCAATTTATTCATCATAACCATCTAACAATGGTTGCAATTTTTTCCAAGTAAACTCTGTTCTCAAATGCGGTGCTTCTTATCTTGATTCGTTTTCATCATCATCTGTACTAGTGTATGATCCAAATCTGTTAATATATTGTTAAATTTCTTTTAAAGCTTTTTCAACTATTTTTTATATATAAATTTCTATACGTAATCTTTAATACATAGTACTGTTTTCTTTCTCTCTCTCCAGTTCTATTTTCATCTCCTGAAGATTTTTATTCTTATTAACAATCTCATGTTGATTTTTCTATTAGAATGATGATTAGATGCCCAGTGCACCTTGGTTCGGGCCAAATTGTGATTAAGCTATATGATATGCTAATGAAAGCATTACTATTAAATCTCGACATTAACTTTCAAATTTTATTTTGAAAATAATTATATAAATTTTATCATTAAATGCATATTGAACATAAATCAAATAAGATTATCAACGAATTCGTAAAACAATTTCCAGAAGAATAAAGGAATAGTGTAATGAATTTTCTATTAATTCTTGGATTCGACATTGCTAGAAAACTAGGATAAAACAATTAAGCAGAACTGTATTCAACGATGAAATAGTTATCAAGTATAAATTTGATTCAACATTATATGTAGAATTTATTATAAATGATTACAATTAAAATGGCTAAAGTGAATTAAGAGAAGAGATTAAAAAAATTTAGCAATAATTGGTTCAACTAAATTCATTGTTCAATAATAATGAGAACGAGTAAATGTAATCCAAGAGCCAGGATATTTATAGAAATCAACCCTAGACAAAACCATAATATAGTCATAACAGATTCTATACACAGAATGATATGGAGGATTAAATAAATGCAAGAATGAGAGAAGAATAATAACTTAGTACAAATTCAAAAAATTAATTCAAACCTGCCAAAAGAAATAATAAAAATAAATCACCATTGTAGTAAAATAATAATAATTTAACTGCAAAAATAACTGAATCCCCACCTCCTCCAATGGTTTATTAAAAAACCGTAAGTAGTAAATTCAATATTAAACCACACCTAGATGATCATTAAATGTAATTAAAAAATTTATTTTTCTTAGTAAATAATTACTATATTCAGAAAATGAAAGAATTTATTAAGAGGATTTTGATTCCATTTCTAATAGAGGTCATCATTACAATCAATCTCCAAAATCTATTAAATATACATTAAATATTTAGAACCTTGGTATACTATTAAATTATTATAGACAATATTGGATAAAGATTTTAAACCCATGAAACTAATAAAAAGAATAAACCTTAATAAACTTCAAACAGTAGTAGATAGAAAAAGAAAGTACCTGCATATTTATAAAATGTTGAATCCAAAATAAAACCAAAATTAGATTAAGATAAATAAGCATTTAAAAATTAAAAAAGTATTTCTTTCTATTAGCTTAAGATTATGATGATGATGAAAATTAATATTATAACTATAAGATGTCTTCATCATAACAAATGACTGCTAACTTTTAAAATAATAAAAATTTTATTCGTCCTAGTTAAGAATCAGATACGTATTATGAGATATAGCAATACCTGATAAATTAATAGCACTAAAATTTTCATCTCTCTCCAGTTTAAGAAATGAAGACAGATAATGAAATTATATCTAATAAAAAAAAGACTTAGAATTTTAGAGAAAATACAAAAAGTTCAATAAAAAGCTCCAATGATGCAAATAATCTTCGATAACATCAATAATAACATTTTTTTGAACAACATGAAAGTTTACCTTACACAAATTCAATTACTCCAATTTAGGTATCAGATTTTTAAACAAGTAAACAGTAATCAGATTTAAGTTTTGATGCATTTAGAAAAAAAGCCTAATTCACTTCTCCATATGTAAATACTAAAATAATTTTAGGCAATATCTTTATAGCAAAGCTCTTAACCAATTCAAACAGCTTAAAAACCATAAAGAAATGATGATGAAAGTAGTGAAAGTTTTTCCAATTTTACACCACCAAACAAGGAAGTTAGAGAATTTTTATCAAAATAATGCATTTATTAAGACTAAGATTGAGATTTATTTTTACCTTTAGTTTTATTAATGTTCAAAATATTTAGACTGATAGAGACACTTGGTCGATTCTTCAAAAAACCACCAGCAGGGACAGGTAGACGTATTGCCATGTCTCCATTCTTTAAAAATATTCTAACCGAAGATGAAGAAGAAAATTTTAAAAGACAGGAGATTTTTTATGATCCACATACGTAATATATGAATAAATTGAAGATATTATTTAAGATAATAGAAGATTTAGTCTTACTAAAATGAACTTATGTAGAAAAATCATTAAAGGCGTGATGATAGTGGTTTATCCGAATTAGGTATATTTAATCTCGATTTTCTAGTGATTACAGCAAAAATGCCTGAAAGAAATTAATTATCACACACAGGAGATTATTAAATTCATAATTAAGACAGTTTTCTTCATTCAATTCAACTTGGTAGAAAGGGAGCTGAAAATCATTTTTTCAGTTTAGATGATGTTGAATCAATTTATAGCTCTTTCGAATAGGATATAAATTTCGATATGTAAAACTTTAAAACATATATAGAGAGGATAGCATAGTGTATCAGCATTGAAATATTCTCATTTATTTAATAATATAAATTACATAATTCTTTTTTAATCATTTTGAATGAAAAAAAACAATCGTTAAAGAATTAACAATGATTCTTCCATTAGAACAAGAAGTAGGTAGAAATCCATAAATGAGAATGAGGAAAAAATAAGAAAATAAATCGATGAAGAGTTTGAGAAACAAAAATAACAAGCAAAATTATAAGTTCAAAATTTACTTTAAGATGAAAATAGTTGTAGTAAAGCAGATCTAAAAAAGGAGATCGTTAAAGGAAGAGTAGCAGTAGATGAATGTTTTCTTTACAAAGCTGACTACCATGTTTACGAGATTAATAATCAAATTTATGATTCTCTATTGAACCAAACTAATATTGCTTCAGGTAATAACAACAACAAATTTTACATAGCATAAATCTTAGAGAGTGATAAATAGCCTTGTAAGTCTTGTTATTTTATTTTAGTTAAGTACTATTTTTTCACTAGATGGGGCAGAGTAGGTTAAAAGGGTTAGCATGCAGCAAAAGAATTGTCTCTATAATCTTGTATCGATGAATATGAGTAAAAAATTTATGATAAAACTGTTGCAGGTGATTATAAAATTTTAGAAAAATTCCTCATTCAATAAAATACTGAGTCATCTAATGAAATGGTACATTATGAAAAATCGATGTTGTAAAAAGAAATTAAAAATTTTCTTAAACTTATTTATGATGTTAAAATGATGGATAAATAAATGATGGAGTATTAATAATTTTATTAATTTCAGGATTGGTTATGATTCTTCAAAAATGCCATTGGGAAAGTTAGGCAATGAAACCATAAAAAAAGGTTATTGTATATTAAAGAAAATTGCAGAAGCAATAAATGAAACCAAAATAGCTAAAGCCAAAAAAAAATGTTTATTAGAAAGTTTATCATCTGACTTTTATTCTTATATTCCTCATAACAATGGATACTCAAAATTAAAATCTTTGGATTCTAATTCAGATATAAAAGAAAAATTAGAAATGTTAGCTTCTTTAGAGGCAATTGAAATAGCAACAAGTTTAATCTAAAATCATAATGGAAATATCTTTGACAATTACTACTTTAAGTTAAATTCAAAAATAAAGTTGATTGATACAGCTTCTGCAGATTATGATATAATTGAAAAGTATGTTGAGAATACTCATGGAAGTACTCATTCTAATTACAATCTAAAAGTATTAGAAATATTTAAGATTAAGAGGAAAGGAGAAAAAGAAAAATTTAAGAATTTTGGTAATAGGATGTTGTTATGGCATGGTTCAAGATTAACAAATTTTGTAGGAATTATCAGTCAAGGATTAAGAATTGCCCCTCCTGAAGCTCCATGTACTGGATATATGTTTGGAAAAGGTGTTTATTTTGCAGATTCTGTTTCTAAATCAGCTAATTATTGTTGCACATCACCTTCCAATCCTGTAGGATTAATTTTACTATGTGATGTTTCACTAGGAAAATGGTAGGAAAGAACTTAAGCAGATTACGAGGCAAGCAATTTAGAACCAGACTGTTAAAGTACAAAAGGCATTGGGAAAATGGCTCCTACTTAAAATGTTTAATTTTCAGATTTCTAAGTTCCAATAGGAAAATTAGAGGATTAATAAATTAATAGTGATTTGATGTATAATGAATACATCGTATACAATGTCGACTAAGTTCAAATAAAATATTTGGTAAAATTAGAATTTATATATAAATAAAAAATAAAATGATTCTAAATTATTGTAATAATTAAATCTTTATATGAGAAAAATTTATTCTCTATTACTTAGAATTATTTTGTCTTTCGAAAAACTCAGGAATTTTTGAATTAGACTAAGATTAAAAAATTTAATTGTAAATATTTATTGTTAAAAGTTAAAACATACTTTTTAAGATAAAATTTATGTGGAATTTATCATTTAAATAAGAAAATTGCAGATTTAGAATTATGGTAAAATTCCTTTGACTTATTTATCTTATTGATTATTTTTTAGCCGATTTTTTTTATATATATTTTTCTTCATGTTAGGAATTCTGTAACATTGTAATCTATTTGATCGAATTGAATATTGATATAATTCAAGTTTTTGATTAATAAAAAAATTTTGAAAACAATATTATCTTTCACATAGGATTAAAGACTAGGATTTATCAATTATTTTTATTTAATCAACACAAAACTTTAGAGATCAGAATTAATCAAAAAGTCTATTTTTAGTGCTAGAGCTATTCATTTCAGACAGGACCATACCATATCAATCTTACCAGCGTCTATAAGCCAATAGGCATACTTGATCAATAATGAGAGATAATGTCCAGTACTATGATTTTTTGGGCAGTTCCTTGCCTTGTGAATATTTCTTTGTTCTAGGGAGATAACCTTAGATGCATAAGAAACCTTCTCCTCCCTGGATTCAATAAAGATAAAAACATAAATATTATCTCGAGTATAATGATTTAAACAGGCAATTAGATATTTTAGAAGTTTATCTCTTTTTCTATAAATATTGAAAGAGACCTACATAAAAGATAGATAACAAAATTTCCTATTTATTGTGAATAATTAATCTGTTGATTGGTATTTTTAAACTTATATATAAAATGTATGGATTTAAATAGATATTAATTGACAATATAGATTTCTTGCTTTTAATATAAAGAATGAAACGTTTTCAAAATTCTATTTTATTATCAATTGTACTTAAATAAATTCTGATTCATCTATAATAATTAAATTATTAATTTCAATATAATAAATATATAAATTAATTTCTTAAAATTTCCTTCAGAAATACATTTTTGAATTTTAGAATTTTATCAATTACTTTCAAAAATTCCCATAGACTATATAAATTTATTCGATTTATTAATATCTTAGATGCTTAACTAAATGTGAAATTTTATTATTTCCTTAAAATCACTAGTATAACAAGCATTGAGTTTTATATTTTCCATAACCAAACAATTCTCATTAATATAAAAATTATATTTTCATTCTGTTTCAGATTTTATTTTTTCAAGACCAACGCAATTTTAATTAAACTTTTTTCAATCACACCATTACAAAATTATAATCATTTAATATATTTATAATAGATTTGAATTTTCTCATTCTTAAATTTATTCATATCAAAACTCTTTACTCTATATTGCCATCCTTATGTGTTGAAATACTAAAAATGTATTCTTGATATAACTCTCTGTCAAATTATTAAAATTATTATGAATTTCTTAATGTTTACCTATTGTTGTTTAATTAGGTTGTTTGCTCAAATACTTTTTTAATTGTTCCAAACTTTTTCTATAAGATTAAATTACAATGCGGAGGCAAAAATTTATGAGGTATGACTTTCAAGATTTTTTAAACTTTTTACAGTGATGGACTCTAGAATTATCAAAAATGAAAATCAAATTTTTTCCAGAATAATGATTGCTTCCATTCTTATATAATTTAATCAAATGTTGAGCATACACTTCCCCGTTAACGGTTCCAATCAGTATTTAATATGCCAAATAGCCATTTTAACTTATTGCCCCTAATATTCCTATAGTTGATGTTGGTTTATAACAATCAATTATTTTCAACTAATCTCGTCCTTGCCAAATTTTAGGAATTTCGACATTATGCCCTAGACTTGATTCATCTATAAATATATGTATTGCTTAGTTTTGGATTTGAGTAATAAAGAATAGAGCAAAATCGAATCTTTATTCAATCATATTTCTACCTGATGCTCTAATATCACGTTTAATGGGTAACCTATATAAACATTTAGCATAATCTTTTACTATTTTTCTAAATTTTGATAATGAAAGAGCAGTCTCAGTAATAGCAAATTTTATTAAGAATTCTTTAAATAAATGCTTTAGATTCATCAATAAATCTAAATTCTTTTCTTTTATTTGGTTTTAAATCCAAATAGCATTTTACCTTGATATTCTAAAATGCTATTATGGCTGTAAATACCCTGTAATTGCTTTATTTGTAAAAATTTGTTCTTTAAATTATGTGATTAAATTCCTTAAACGATTAAAGTATTGGAGTTTCATATTCAAGAGGCAAAATGTTTCGAATAATCCGAAATTTCTTTTTTACTTTTCATTTTAGGATTGACCTACTCTTTTTGATTATCTGTACGACTATCTGAAAACATTCTTCTGAACTTAAACTTTCCTCAAATTCAGAAGTTTTTCCCAATATACGTAATTCTCTTGGTTTAAATTATTTAAATTCTAAACATTATTGACTACATATTGTATGACGCACATATAATTATTAGAGCTTAGGATTCTATTTCTACTTAATCATCTAGTTTGATGATTTTTAATCTATATTGATTTAACAATTCCAAAAGTCATACTTAGTTTATATATATATTTATATAACAAAAGACAAGTATAATTCTATTTATGAGTATACCTTTAATAATGACGTGTAGCTGTAGAATGTTTTGTTACCAAACCTTGGAACTTATTCTATATTCGAGAATTATCCTAATTAATAAAAAAATACTTTTTGAATTGAAACAATAAAATTTAATTTGAAAAAATGAAACATAAATAAAACACATAATTTCATTGCTTTGAGATAAATATTTTTTATAAGAAAAATATTTCTTTATTTAAGAATTTGTTTTTTGGATTGATTATTGTTCTTTCATTCACGGATTAATTTTAATCAAAGCAAAACTTTCAAAAGGTAATCTCAATCATTTATTGATTTCCAAATACAATATATTCATATTTGATTATTATTTAAATATAGACTCATGGAAGCATCCAAGAAGCATACTCAGTCGTTGGGAGTCTAGAATTCATGTTTTATGTGTTGTCTTTGAAATAAATTTACCTACGAAATTTTAACTCAGATGCCATTCCTTGTGAATATTTGCTCTAAGTTGCTTTGAATAAATGCTATAGAGTATTACAAACAGATGTGAAAATTGGAATATTGTTAAAGAAATGTACGAAAATACAACTTTATGATATACTAAATCATCTTGCGGAGTAGAAAAAAATTATTCATGGATTTACACATTCAAATTTACCTTATAAAGAATGGTTGGTGAATATCATAGACACTTGGATGATCAAAATCCGATTTTTTAGAAATTTTAAGATTCTGATAATGTACTGGAAATAACATAAGACGATCTAAAGTTCAAAATTTTCTTAATTTAGTTTCAGCATTTTAAAACATTTAGAAACTTCATCTGGAAGAAAATGTTAGATGAAATTTTTTAAACGGACCCCTGAGTAGGTGATTTAGAGGAAATAATGTATTTAAAAAAAATATTGAAAAACTTGAAATGGTAATTAAAAAGACGAAAATAAGAGGAGGTGTAACTTGAATAAAAGATAAATTACTATTAATTTAAGGTTGAGCCATAATATCAATAATAATAATATATGATTTAAAAACAGTAAAAAAATTGATGAGTATAAATAAAAAATATAAGATAAAACAAATTTGCATAAACAATCTTTATACATTTAGAATTTGGTTTAATTATGAGCCATATATGATCTGATAATGCAACAATAAATCTTTTAGATTATATTTAATTGATGAAATAATGATTCCATATATTAAAAAAATTTCGAAGTTTAACGTCTAATATATAGCAATATTTACAAAAAAGTTGAAGCATTTTAAAATTGCTAATAGAATGATAATTGAGAATATAATTAGCAATAAATTGTATTTTTCAAAAGGCAAGAGCATTATCTTTACTCAATTTTTTATTCGCTTCTTTAACTAATTACTAAACCATTATTTTTTTTAATTTTCAAAGAAAAATAGGATAAGATAGCCAATCAAGATCAAGGTATCTGAAATAAAAATATATATCACTTTTTTTTAATTTAAAACTAAATTTTAATTTTAAGCTGCATAAGGTAAAAAATACTTCTTAAAAAGAAATTTTGTGAGCTTAAGAATAATTTTTTTAATTATAATTTATTTTCCATTCTTCTTAAAAAACGACATTAATGGAATTAAATTAGAAACTAATAAAGCGATGTTTCTTTTAGTAAAAAAAAAATATATTCTTCAAAAATTACAAGCAATCCAATCATCCAATTTATTTATTCCAAAACAAAATTATCAAATTCTTATATTTAAGAAAGTCTTAGTGACAATTGTTTTCAAACTTGAACAATTCCAAAGTTAAAAAAATAGATTTATCTCATGTACTAACATTTAAAATCTTAGCTTAAAAAAAAATGTTAAATTATACAGCTAGAATTTGGAAAACTCATGAAGAAAACCAAATCCTCAAACTATAAAGAGAGAACAATGTGTTGTAAGTATTTAATATTGCAAAGACTATAACGTTAAAAACTAATGCTTAATAATTGTTCATCTGCTGATCCCACTAAATACCCTTTTTTTGAATTATGCTTAAACATATTTTTGTTTTTGGGAGAGAGGAAAGGTCGGTTTTTTTCTCAACCTACTCCTTATGAGTGAAATGGGAGTTTTCAAAGATCATCTTCTTCTTTATTTGCTTTCATCAGATTAATTGAGATAGTCTCCCAACGCATTAAGAGAAAGAATGAGAATTATTATTATATTTAATAACGTAATGAGTGTATTTCATATTCCTTATAGAAATTTGTTAAGCTTTAAGTAATACTCCTCTTTTGGTTCTCTTAATTCTTTTAAAACTATCTTAAATTATTTGAATAGCGATGTTTTCCTTGCTCTTATCATTTAATAAATATCCTTCCTTTTTCAAGTTGTTTCTCATGAAATTCTTTTGAGGAAAAGCTCTTCTTCTAAATTAAAAAAAGTGCCATTGTATGAAGGTATCCAAATCATATATTTTGAGAAAAAATTAAGAGCTATGCATTTATAATAATTTGTCCATTAAAATGAAATAATTTGAGAATCCAGGTCTCAAATCAAATATGTTTTATATTTTTTTAGTTTCTTTAATGTGAGGAAATCTTTTTTAATATTTAAATAAATTTTTTTTATTGATTTCTAAATGTATATGAATATCAATAATAACAAGTTTATATCTATCATTTGTGGGAGGATTTAAACATGGAATCATTTATTTAAATTCAATATTCAGATGCACAAATAAAAATAAATTGTCAATATCCAGATATTATAACTGAAAAATTATAGATTTCAGTTTTAAATAATTGACAATGAGGATGTGCTTCTCCTATTCAAAAAGCTTATTGTTTGAAATTAATTAAGTATAAGTTCTGCTAAAAAGATAAGCAAAAAAAATAAAGAACATCTCGTTTAAGAAAGTCATAATAACATTTTATAATAATTATAAAGCTGTGTATTTAATCAATGATGACTAAATTATAAAAGTGTATAGAGTGGATTATTAGAAAATCACAAAAGGAAAAAGCTTTATATAATTTTATTTTTTCAAACTTAATTATTAATAAAATTAAATCTGACAAAATTAATAAAATAATTGATCTTCATTATTATAAGTTGATTTGGAATTTTCGTTTTAACATGAATTGCAATGTTGGCTTGAAACAACTTTGTATCACGGTTCATTCAAAAAAGATTCAATTCATTTTTATTTCAAGGTCAAAAGACTTTTTTATAAGAAATTTTGTAAGGAAAAACTACAAATTTATTTCTCATCATTCATCAGAGCAATTTTTTAAAGAAATTACTTGAAATTGTATCAATATAATAATATAATTTACAACAAAAACTAGCTTTTAAATTAATTACTTTTATTTTAATTCTTTTGCATGTTGTTAGTAAATTAATAATAGAAAATTTGACAAAAATGAAAGTTATGGCAAATTTAGAATAAATTTATAGAAATTAGAAATATTCTTTATAGAAATTTAATTGATTCAAACAAGGTATTAGTACTTTTGTTTAAAAAAAAGAAATGGTGCAAAACAAATTCTAACTGCTCATGATCTAGATATCAAAACTCATGGTTTTTTAAGCCAGTAATAACTTTAATAAATGGAGTGATGAAAAAGAATCAACTATGAATTTGAGAAAATCCTAGACTGAGAAATAACGAAAATAGAAATTGAGCAGATAAAATCTTAAAAATTTCCAATTAAATTAGAAAGAGGTGAAAAGATCAAATAGCCATCCTTTAAAAAACGAAAAGAATTGAGCGACATAATACCTTTATAAGGATTAAAAATAATCAACTTTGTTGGATTTTGATTTCGTATTTTTAAATAATAAGATTGGGAACGTTGTTTAGTTAAGTAATCAGAATATAGGATTAATATTCGTACAAGTTAAGTTTGATAAGGTGGGGTTAAAAAAGAACTATGCTTTGAATTTGAAGTTGTTGATAAAGAAGATATTCGAACTAGAAAGCATAGATGTAAAAAAGATTAACTACTGTGAATCATCACTAAGTGTTCTTTTAATCAGCTTTAAATTGACATTCAATTTTAGACACCATAATTGCTTCCAGCAATCCTTAAGTTATAAGTCGAAAAATATTTTTTTTTATCTAAGAAGACTTATACAAGAGATCATGCCTCTTTCTCTTTATATTTCTCAGAATAACTAAGCTTAAAATAGTCTTTGAAATTTTGTCTTAGAAATATAAAGAAAAAATCATTCAATAACTTAGAGAAGAATTTTGAATTTTATAAATCGAAAATGTAGTTAAAATGAAAAATTGCTTTTTTTGGCAAATAATGTCTTCTTATTCAAGTAAAAACATGAAAGGAATCAATCTAACATGATAGGGCTAAGAAAGTCTATTTATCAAATAACAATGTTTTATGATGAAAGTATAAATAATTCAGACAAACATATTTCTAGTCATAATTGGTAGGAAAAAAATAACTTTTAATTATAGAAATGAAACAAGATGATTGTTTTGTTGTCGAAAAATTCAACCAAAAAATTATTGTGGCATGAAAAAAATGTTTAGACCACTATATAACAAAACAAATATACATAAAAAGAAAGAGATATTTGGAATATAGTCTATTCTTAGTTGTCAATTGGTCTGATCCCTGAATATAGTAAATGGTGGTTTAAACGCAATACAAACACCAAAATGATAATTAGTGAAGAATAATTTTCTGCAATTAGAATAGAAAAAAATTTACCAATTTTTATTCAATTTTTGAAAGAAAAATATGTATCAAATAACATTTGAGCGAAAATAAGGTTGATAATTTCATTCATTTCATAAAAATTCTATCTGACTAAAGGGAAATCATTTATTTTAAGATAACAACAACAACATTTTTTGTATATCATTTATTGAAAAATAAAGGTGTATATAATTGTT